ACTTAAATTGACATGGTCACGTGATTCCTGAATCATGCGCCCGCTATGTACACTCTAAAAAAAAAGGGTGTATCGTTACACCCTTTGTCCCATATAATACACCCCAAAACTTCATTTGGACGTACAGAGCCCTACGGTCGAACAGACGGCCCCAAAATTTCCGAGGGGCTTGATAACGGTGCGATATAACTTTTTTTTAAATAGCTAAAGTACGTATCAAAAACCGCATAAAGAAAACACCGAGCTTTTACAGTAGGGGCAAACAAGCCCCAATTTTTGTTTTGTTTTGTAGTCAGTAACACATACATTAGCTATTTTAGTAAGTTGTACCGCACGGCTATCGAGCCTCTCGTGAAATTTTGGGCCGTCTGTTGTACTGCAGGGCGCTGTACGTCATATTCAAGTTTTGGGGTGTATTATATGGGACAAGGGTGTAACAATACACCCTTTTACACCCATTTTTAGAGTGTATTTTCTTTGTACGAGGCGGCGTTCACATTACGAGACTAATCTTGTAGCGTAGAGAGAGAACATCACTGGGAAGGCGAAGAGAGGGGGAGACCTTCCCCGACCTCTCTCTGTCTTCCAGTGATGTCCTGCCAATCTTGAAGCGCGAATGCCACTCAGAACACTACGCGCACTCCTCGCAGCTTTTTCGCCATAAGCCTGTCGAATCATTTCGAAGGTCTCTGTTCCAGATTTGCCGAGTTTGACTAAAATCGCCAATGTGCTCGTGAACGTCGTAGAAAAAAGAAAAAAAAATGTATTAAATGTTAACAAAACGACGGCCTTTGGCAGAATGACACGTAAAGGTCTCTGCCTTCGACTGTTGCGCGCGCATCTCTCTCTACTTTTTACGCTACAAAATTTGTCTCTGAAATTTTTTTAATTGCGTTTTGTATGCACGAAGCGGAGCCCGAGAACTTCACAAACTATCGCTGAATTTGATAAACACGAGCGTCCTTCCTTACCCGTGTTCTGCAGCTCAAATGTGGACCCTAAAGGTGTAAAGAACTCAGAAACACCCCTGACATGGGTGCTTCTGCGTTTTCTCTTGAGGTGTGTGTATACGTGCGCGTGTGTGCGTGTGCGCGCGTTATAGGGATCTCAAAACACCCTTTTCGGTGTAAATGTGTTAACAGTGACCGCATACTTGGGTAGTAATTCAATTACAGTAATTTAATTACTTTCTAGCGTCGGTTATTGCAGAAATTTAGGCGCAGGTACAACTACTTTTGCAAGCCTGCGGCGCCGACGGCACCTCTCTAAAAGCCTCAGCGCTCGCACAATCTAAAAAAAAGCCCATGCGTCTGCTTTCCCGCAGAACACTCGGAGAGCCAATCACCGCAACATACAGAGACAGGTCAGAGAATGACGATGCCGAAACATATGTTTAGACCAAAAAGCGTGGTCTGAGTTGTGACATTAAGCAATGCAAGCGTGACGTTTTGCATTGCTTAACAACTCAGACTGCGTTTTTTGGTCTAAACATATATTTCGGCATCGTCATTCGCTGAGCTGCCTCCGTAAGTTGCGGCGATTGGCTCCCCCAGTCTTATGCGGGAAAGTAGACGCACGGGCTTTTTTTAGAGTGCACGAGCGGCTTAGCGCTCGGTGACACAGTCGCACCACATAGACACGCACTCACATACACGCGCAACAAAAACATCGTCGCGTTGTTTGTTGCGTACACTGCAGACTGAGAGACTATCCTCTTTGGAGCCTACCTCAACGGCGCCGTAAGCCGCCGCCTGCGATGCGAGCAGAAAACAATAGCGTAAAGACGCCAAAATATTGAAAGAAACAAAATTGAGCTTCAGCTTTCAGCCGAGGTTGGGAATTTTATTTTGCTATAAAGTTTTTTTTTTTTTGCCTGTTTGTTACGTCCTTTTTCTAGTATCTGCCCCATATTTGTTTCTCTGTATTTTTTTCAAGTTTATTTTCTGTTGGTTTTACTTCGGATAGTATTTGCATAAGCATTTTGGAGACCGACCTCGCACCTGTGAATATTGTCACCGTCGAATATATAAGAACCCGATTCGGTTCTTATATATTTCTGAGCCATTATACTTTCAACTCAGTGTAAATAATTTAGAACAACATGAAGCGTTTGTATGTAAATGTGGTCGTGTCAGCGCGTGTGGATTGCTTTTTGTTTTATTAACACCATTAAAATATTCAGATAATACATATTGTCGCATTTTCATTTGCCTGGCTAACAAAAGTACTTTAGCGTTGCGATCGAGCGTCTAGGAGTAAATGAACGAATTCATTATTATTTATTGAAAAATATAAGAACGCAGGACTTCATTATTCCAAACTGTCAAGTTATATCGTTAATTTAACAAAATTCACAAAAGGAAAGTCCAATACGTGACATTTATGCAGCGAGGCTTAAGTCTTTTCAAACATAAGGGCAAGGAATGGACAAAAGCATTGAATTTTTCAACAATTAGTTATATGTCCCAACTTCAGTCGCTTGCCGAAATAAGTAATTGTGAGGTAATTTCATTACCCTGTAAAATAAATTTATAATTGTAATGAATTACTTTTCACTTTGTAGTAATTGTAATTGTAGTTAAACTAGTTTGCATTGCTCCGCAGCCGGTCGTCGGCTTTGTGCTCGTGTTCAATCTGTTGTACTTTTTTCGTATTAGGCGTTTCCTGGATTTAAATACAAAACAAGTGCACACAGAGAATAAAATTAGTGTGATTTAAATCACGATTTAAATCATATTGAATTTTATTCTGCATCCTGCTAAACACTAAAATAACGTCCCAGAAAAAAAAAAAAGAAAAAAAATATCGGGATTGCAGTGACGATATTTTAAGCGTAAATTTGGTGGCTCTGGAACAGCAAAACGAGGAAGTCTTCCGGTAAAACAAGGCCGTATCTAAGTGCGGCATTGTTTGCGTAAAGCTTCTGGTGGAGCGAATATCGCACTCAAGATGGCGAGAATGTAAGCAGATTGTTACGCGTCAACGGTAGTTTGCCGTCCTGTTTTTATCACGCGCTCTCTACGTCTCGGAATGCGCCCAAGCGAAACGAGAACCTAATAGCGCCTTCCGGTTTCGGTCATTGTCGACGGCAATATTTTCGCGCTGTTTTCTGGAAATAATTTGCGATGCTGATCTGTAACTTGTGGATGTCGTCCGTAACGAAAGTTTCGATATCTTTTTCTCTTTTATTATTCTTAATCAAAGCTTTCTTTCCTCTTTTTTTGAACACCCGGGTTTTACTTTTTTCGACATGCTATTTGTACTATATCTAAATTCAGTATAGGTGTTGAGGCAGCTGCAAATGATTATGTTAGGCCAAATTCAACATTCAAATTTTTCCGCGCTCTCTAATTAGATGGTGTTGCGTGTACGTGTTTTTTTTTTTTTTTTTCGTCTTGCAAAAGCGGTTTTCTTTTTTTGTGCATCACATTATTATATTTTTTTAAACCGTTGCGACAGTGCACTCCCCCCCCCCCCCCCCCCTCCACATTACATCTGGCGTAACTTTTCGTTGATGCCAGCAGAGCCTCTCATCCTCTCAGACCAAATAACAGAGATCAATAACTTTGCGAGAAAAAACAGCAACAACATATTTTGACCTGTGATTTGTGTATTAACATGTTGAACCAACTTTGAGGCATCTGACCTCTCAACTTTGTCTGAACAGGTCCGAATTATCCCAACTGCTGTCGCATTGCATCTCCTTTAGGTATATTTGACGAGGTCTCAAATTTTTCAGTGATGTCCTTGCTGCCCAATTTGCTTCAAACTGCTTCGAAGTATTCACCCTGCTACATTCGCCAACAATTAACGAGAATGTGGTGGAATTGGCGCCATTAGATTGCTTCAAAAGTTAATTTCTCCCTTCGGGCGACGAAACTTGTAACACGGGCGGGCGACTGGCGTGCCGTTACGGTAGTCATTCTCGAATTTTAGAAAACTCTCGACTCTCGAATCGAATAACGTACTATTCGATTCGATCTTGCTTACCGAATACTGACTGTACTACTGTCACTGACAGGATGAGAACTGCCGGGGCTCAGTTGTCCCACCTCCAGCGCGAGCTTTTCCTACCTTCGGTAATACTTCGGCGCCTCGTGAGTCTCGAGCGCGGTCGAGCAGCCAAAGCACGACGGAAGGCAAAGAAGACGTGCTGTAGCGCCGGAAGCCCAGCATCCGGAAGAGGCGCCCTGCCTTTCTACTGATCCTGTCAGTGTCTTTTGGAAATGTCGCAATATCTCTCACTCCCCGACATTTGGTCGCTATACTTCGTTTCAGCTTCGGTCCGAGCGCGGCCGATATTATGAGCCAAAGGGCCAATCAAACAGCGAAAGAGGCACAACGTCATGGCGTGCTCTCTGCAGTTGATAGGACCAGCCTGTATTCACCGTCTCTCTGTGCGTGCTCCTCCGCCGGCTAGTCCTATCAAGTGCAGAAAGCACGCCATGACGTTGCGCTCTTTACGCTCTTTGATTGGCCCTTCGGCTCATGGATCCGTTGAGTGCGCTTCTCGCAACGCACTGGTGCGTGCGGAGAAGCGACATTTGCGGAGCGATGGGCTATTTGCGACACTGGGCGTCATACGACGACCAGTCGTGCGACAATCTTTATCTCGAGGGAGAGGAAGAGATGAGAGCGGGCGGGGTTGTCAGATCGCCGAGCTCTGATCGGCCAGATTAGTGGGTAGACACAGATGCCTTTGTCACCTCACTGTCTCCCTCCAATCGGAGCAGACAACAACGTCGTCTGCTCCTCGCGCGGGGTCTCGCGTTTCAACGCCGGGCGCGGGCGTTCGGCGTTCGAACCCTCTTGAACAGTGAGCGAAGACAAAGACAGCTAGCCTTTGCGTTTACCCGCTACCCTTCTAATCAGAGCTTGGCGCGCTGGTGTCCCCGCGCGGCTGTGACGTCGGCCAGGTTCCTTTGGCAGCGTGAAGAATGTGCATGGCAGACGCTGCTTTACGCACAGCTCGTGCTGATGACGACGTTAACCTCGCGCAGACGCTCCAGCCCGAGGAACGGGGGTCCTCGAGCCCCTCGGTGGCGGCGGCGGCCTCCGGCGAGTCGGGCTCGTCCCCGTTGTCCCGCCAGCACCAGCACAGCCGGAGCGGTTCGGGCGCCAGCTCTGCGAGCGGCATGGCCCCGGGCGGCGGGGGCGCCGGGGCGGCGACCGCAACGCAGTCCGCGACCAGCCTCGCGAGCAGCGCCAGCAGTGGCAGCGCCGCGGGGGACGGCGGAAGGTCGGCAGTGGCGACTTCTGGCCCTGGTGTAGTCCAGAGGGAGGACATCCTGGTGTTGACCCACGACGTGCGGGCGTTCAAGGAGGCCCTCGGCAGGCTGCGCAAGGTCTTCGGAGCCGAGGGGCAAGGTGAGGTTCCTCTGGTGTGGTGTTGACGATTGTTTTTGCATGTTGGCAAACACAGTTTCCATCAACATATCAGCCAGTTAATTAACCAATTAATCAATCGCCCAGCCAATCAATCAAGCCAGATGGAGAGGTGAGTCGACTACTCTGGTGTGGTGTTGATGTCGTGAAAACGTTTAGGCACCACAGAAAACACAATTTCAATCAATCTATCAATTAGTCAGTCAGTTAGTAAACTATTCAGTCAGTCAGTTAATAAACTAATCAATCAATCATTAATTTGATAAGCCCAATCAATCACCCAGCCAGTCAAGCCATGAGGCAAGGTGAGGCTTTCTGATGTGGTGTTGGCATTGTGGCAATTTTTAGGCAAGACAGCAAACACATTTTAATCATTGTATCAATCAATCAATTAGTCAGTCTCTTAATTAAACAGTCCATCAATCCATCAATTCATAACACTTAGCCAACCAGCTAAGCTAAGGTGAAACGTTATGCTACTTTGCTGTGGCGCGTGCATCGTGATAGTGTTTGGAGAAGACATTAAACACAATTTTAATCAATCTATCAATCAGTCAGTCAGTTAATCGATCAACCTGTCAATCAATCACCCAGCCAATCAATCATGCCGAGGTGAAAGGCAACGTGATCTTGGTGTAGGATTGACATTGTGAGAACGTTTAGACGGGACAGCAAAATCAGTTCTAATTATTTTATCACTTAAGCAAATTATTTTTTAGTACGTTAATCAACTTATCAGTCATTCATTAAATCAAGCAACCAACCAGTCAATCAAGCCAAGGTGCAAGTGAGGCTACTTTAGTATAGTGTTGGCATCGTGACATTTAGGCAGGACAGCAAATACAATTACAGTTAATCAGTCAGTTAATCATTGAATCATTCAGTCAATCAATCAAGCCAAGGGGAAAGGTGACACTACCCTGGTGTAGTGTTTACATTTCAACATTCAGACAGGACAATAAATGCAATTTCAATCAATCAGTTAAACAACTACCGTATTTTCCGGGCTATAGTCCGCAGACTATACATGTTTAAAAGTTGAAATTTCTGGCTGTGCGGACTATATACGCGTGCGGACTATACAGGAATTATGTTTTTCAGTATTGTTGATTATGACGAGACGGGACAGATTTTGTGAATAAAAGAGTATGTTATTGATAATTTATGTATATTATAGGCTTTTTTGTGAGCTAACAAAACATACATATGTCAAGGTGTGCCGCGTATGACAAAGAACTTCGTGTCGACTAAGCACCAGGTGCGGACTATCCACTGGGTGCGGACTATGCAGCGGATGCGGACTATTGTCCGGAAAATACGGTAGTCAGTCAACTAATTGATTAGACAATCGTTGATTCAATCAATCAATCGCTTTACAATTCATCGCTCATTCGACTGTCTTGAGCTGGCTGCAGCGAAAGCATTTTCCAGCAATCATTCCACTTTTACAGGTCATAGGGGTAGTCTTCCTGACATTTGAATTCAGAGGAGAATTATGCAAAATATTTTAAGATTTTTTTTTCCCTTTTTTGTGTGTCTGTGGGTATTCGTTCCGCAAAGGGGGCCTAAGGCAAAAGGCGCAAGTGCCTGACAAGGCCTTAGCTTTGTCAGGTACGTGTTGAGTGCTACATCACGAAATCGTTGCTCGGCTGTTTCCAGAGAGCGCTCCCGTGAGAAGGACACAGCTCGTGCGTTTCATTTAAGTGTTGTGAGCACTGTACTGCCAAAACTCTTTTCAAAGAGCGACCAGCTCCTGTCTATGTTGAGATAAGCCCAAAGTATCCTTTTTTCTGTCTTCATAATTTGGCCATGTCAGAAAGGATTCGCTGGCGCTGTTGGGGTGAACTGCCTCAGACGTTATATCTGTTTAATTTATTTATTTCACTAAGAAAGTCCTCCTCAGAAACACACAAATTTGTCAGCACTTCTGGAGAGACATATAAAAATGTTATGTGCCATATTTCTTGGTATATAAGTCACCTTTTTTTTTCCAAAAGTTTTGTCAGTTTGTCTTATACAATGGTACGACTTGTGGACCAAAAAAATATGGTACTACACAGTTTTTGTTTAGCGTCTTCCACCTGCCAAACCCGAGTGTCCCGTTTTCTACTTCGAGAATTATGGTCACCCTACTTTGAGGTCAACTTTTTGGGGAACTGGGCAATCTAGGCCTTACTACTACATCCAACTCAAGGACAAATGTATTAAGTCTTAAAGGACTTAGAGATTCCCATGTGGCATAGTCCATAAAGAAATTTACATACTGTAGAATACCGTGCATCCAGCCATTCCACACTAAGCGCCCACCCCCGAAATTCGAAACATCTGAAAAAAGTGCATTATATGTAAAAGTGCTGACCTCACATGTGCCCATACCCTATTTTCTCGTGATTATCTTCAAAGTTTGCCCGGTATTTTACGGTAACCAAACTTAACGGCAAATGACTGTACAAACCCTCTTGGACGAAGGAATAGGTATGCTTTTTCATGGATCGTGGCTGTAGGAAGAACAAGACGCAGTTAGCCCAAACATGCTATCAACAGTTTTTCCAACTTGGTTGCCACCAAACTGTATTCTTTTGATGTCAGTGGCACCAGGAGTGTAACCTTATGGCAATGTCCTGTAAACCCCAAGCACAAATTGACAAAACACCAAAGTAGGTTTTGAACACATTAACTGAAGAGCATGTTGGTAACATTGACTGGCAACAGAAAGAATAAAGCAAACTTGGGACAAGGGACGACGAACAGAAATGTTTGTCATCCCTTGTCTTGAGTTTGTTTTATTCTTTCTGTTGCCAGTAGATTTTGAAATTTTTTATTTATGGCACAAACATTATGCATTCTGAGCATTCTAAAAAACCAAAATTACAATCATAAATGACCTTCTTTCGTCTGAAAAACGTGACCAAACATTTAATTGCACCCACTTTTTTAAACATACCTAAAAAAGTGTTGTACAATTTTAGATAGGCACAGTAATCAACTAGCTAGGGAAATTTTTTAAGCTGAACACATCATCAGGAATAATTAAAACTGTGTTAGTACATCATCTTTGAACCTGACAGAAAAAGAACAAATTTTCTTGGCACCTAGGAGATAAGTGCGCGTGATTCGGGAAATTTGGTAGTTCCAGACGTAGAAGAAGACAAAGTATATAACAATGAGTTGTGAGTCAGCATGGTTCGTTTGATTTTTCCTTTTTTTTTGTGTGTAAGGAGTGTGTGTATGATGCGAGTGTACATTTGCAGTAGTGCGCTGTAGTGTGTGTTATTATTATCCAAAGTTGGGCAATGGATGTTGCTCAAAACTGATGTAAGCATGCGGCAATCTCCTCCAACGACAGGGCGGCACCCGAGCTGGGTGACGTAACCTGAAGCTTTCTGGAGCCGTTCGAGTCAAATGTTTTCTCTTCTCTCAGAAGCCGCTGTGGCTGTGTTTCGGCGCGTACGTGATCACAGACCCATTACCTCTGACACAATTGCCTGGATCTGTGTTTCTGTTCTGTTCTCATCCCCAATTTTTACTTAATTGTGTTTTTAAACAATACAAGCCAACTGGCTTGAACGTGTCAACTGCTGTCCAGTATGTTGTAACATCTTCATAGCACCGGTGATCATGGCACATTGTTTCTGCCGGTGGTGCAGATAAGCAGCGCCGGGAGACACGGCTGGTTGCCGCCCACGAACGCCTGGGCCAGGTTCTGCGGATTCTGCGCTCCATCCTGGAGAAGTACCCACCGATCCAGTCGACAGAGTTGCTTGTGGCCGCTGGCACCCTCATCCAGCACGTCAAAGGTGGGTCATGCACTTAGAGCATGAGTTCTCAAACTGAGTTCCTAGCAACCCTGGGGTGCCCTAGGGAACACTTAAAGGTTTCCCTCAAAGGTTACCCTCAAGATTCCCCAGAGCTCCCTTAAGGGTTCCCCAGAGCACTCAAAAGGGTTTCCATGAGCACCCTCAAGAATTCCCCAAGCTTCCGAACTTCCCCAGCCGTCCCTGCCCCTGAATGAAGTTTTTTTTGCAGATCAAGCGCTATCTTAGCAGATCTGAGCTATTTATTGATACATACAGAGAGCCGAGAAGCTTCCTATTATGTGCATTATTGTTTGCAAGGTCTGCGAGCCTCTGAAGTGCTTTATTGCTTCAATGCCGAGACAAGGAGGGCTTCTTCGGCCTTTAGTCAAGCCAGATGGGCTTCCTCCTGCAGTGCAGACAAAGGCATGGGCACGAGCGCATGGCTGTGGAAAGTGCCTCATATGCACGAGTTCTCATACAAACAAAATCATACTGCTAAGCGAGGCTCATGTGCCTAGAACTTTGTCTTTACTACAGATATTTGTGAGATAGGGTATGGAGCATCACAGCTGTCTCCCACTTCGATTCAAGTAATGCGGGAAGCGACCATCGTTCTTGCAGGAGAAGCAGTGACATGCAACCTTGGTTGGCGTTAAAGCCACCAGACACGCTTTGTTTAGAGTATCAGCACTTCATTCCCTGATATGCACGTGTGCTCCGCCCCGCCATTTTGGCATTTGTTATGATTCGAAAATGCGGCTTCCCGAGCTTTAAATAAGGTTTCAGGAAACTCAGGCAATATTGTCTTGCTTTGTGGCTGGCTGTTTCTGCATTTCTGGAAGACGGAAAACAGTCTTCTGCAATTTAAGGGGAAGCTTCGGATTACTCGCAACCATCACTTTAAGCACCAATATGGCTGAAGCGTAGCTTGCTTGACTCCAGTCATTGTGTGGCACGGCACCAGCAGTAACCCTCTCCCTTGGATGCACGCACATGTGCACTGTGTAGGCCGTCATCTGCGTGTCCACGGTTGTCGTAAAACGGCTCAAAGAACACAGTCGCCCGCCCTCTAACTGGCATGCACAACGTTGAATGTTCAAGAAACTTCCTGGATGTCTAGACTTCAGTCTGAGATGTATGTTTTGCGAACATAAGGCAAAAGAAATATGTTCCCCTTAAAACTCGGTGGCCCCCCAAGTCCAGCTGCCTTATATGCACCTTCTCTCACAGTAGAGTGCTTTGACATTAGTAAAAGGTATGTACGCACAGCTCCGGCTCATATTCTTTCGTTCATATAGCCATAATTCAAAGCAACATAGTTTCAGTATGGCCTTGGCTTTGTTATTGCTGTAAGGTAGAGTGGTATCGAAGGACACAAGCCCGTGCTCTTTTCAGAATTGCTAACCAAGTACACATCTCAGTCAAGCTCCGCTTGTCTATGGCTGTTAAAAGTGTCACAATGGTTCTGCCATCTATTCTTTTTTTATGTCGGACTACGTCATTCTCCGTGCTTGGAAGGGGGTGCAAAGTTGGAAAGTCAATCTCACGAAAACTTGGTCATGGAAGTGACGTCACGCACGTCAAAATAAATGAGCCAATCAGGCAGCGCTGAAAGTGCAATGTCACGGCATTCGTTTTGCGTGTGCTATCACCGCCTTACACCAATCCTGCACAGAAAAAGGATCACGGAGCACTCCCTGTGCGTGATAATCGGTGATAGCGCAGTGAATGCCGTAACGATGCATTTTTGGCTCGATTGACACCGTCGGGTCGTCGGCTGCGGTTGCACTTAGAATGAAGCAGAGTTTATTTTGCTAAGTAGTGCGTCGCATCAGTATTCAACAAGTTCCATATTTTTTTTTCTTCTTAGAAATAAATAGCACGAAGCTCAAGTAAAAACTGACGGAAGAAGCACTAATACCGTAAAATACGGGGCAAGCGCCCACTCAAAATTCAGAGATGATCGCGAAAAAATCGGTGATAGGCGCTTGTCCGGTCATCAATTTTACGTATCAATGTTCTGTGCATATTTTCTCAAATCTTACAAATTTGGGTATGGGCACTTAGTTTGGAATGAATGGATGCGTAGTATTGTTATTGTATGGCATAGCGCTTGTTTTGTCAGTTTGTATTTGACCTTTGTGCTATTTATTTCTAAGATGCATATCTAACTAGCCCACCTTAATATTTTAGTAAAGTTCCATTATATATATATATCTTTTTGTTTTTGTTGTGGGATTATCTTTTTTTTTTGCACTTGAAAGAGGGTGCAAAGTTGCGATTCAATATAAGGAAAACTTGGTTATGGAAGTGATGTCTCTCTCCAGTTTAGGTCAGGTGACGTGAGTCGATGTCACGCCATTTGACATTACGCTATGTATACAATTCAATGTCTCCAATTCAATTTGACATTACGCTATGTATACGATTCAATGTCTCCGCTAAATTTAGCAAGGAAATTGATGTCACGTGACTCGACGTGTTGTGAAATGAACTATACGCAAACTTAGTTTCCCTGCTAAATTTAGCGGGTCACGTGATATCGAAATTCGTGTGAAATTTAGCAGGGAAACTGAATTGGTGTTCAGGTCACGTGACGTCAGGTCGCGGCCTCTCATATATCAGCCCCCCCTCCCCCCACCCCCCCTCTCATTTCCTGTTCCATCCACATGTAGTTCCACAGGGACTATGCGGCTTAGCAGACCTATGCACCGGCCAATTTTTTCTAAGGCTCGCTGGCAAAAAACGAAAATTGCGAAGGTTATTAATTTCAGCGAACCTAGCTCGTAGTGCATTTTCATTTTGTAGGTGCTTTACCGGCTTGCATCTGTTGCTGTATGATATGCAAATATTTTTTCACATTATCTGTTGTTACCAGGGAAACTGATGAGGCAGGATGAACAGAACAGCGCACACAAAGACAAGGACGGATAAAAGGAACATGCACGACACACAAGCGCTTGTGTGTCGTGCATGTTCCTTTTCTTTGTCCTTGTCCTTGCGTGCGCTGTTCTGTTCATCATGTCATCATACCAACTCGCCCAACCTACAACACTTCTGATAAGGCAGGTGATAAATATGGGCCACGGTGTCACAATTCCTTGTGTACAGACCTTATCGCTCCCCTGTCACTTTCATTTGTTGTTTTGATGAGCGTGTCTTGTACTCGGTACTTCTCGGATAAGAAGGTTCGGCAAACATGGCCCCTGTTGCATGGATATCTTGCCTATGACTCGTCACAGCATCTGTGGCCTCGGTTGTAGAGTGTGATCGGTCCTTTGCGGTTTCTTCCTTCAGGGCATGACTACAGTGAGGATAAGGCAAGCCAGAGCGAGTCTTTCTTCGAGGCGGTGGACCAGCTGGCTCTGGCATTTAGCAGCAGGTCAGTTGGCTCTGACTACTCGACGGTCATCTGGTGCTTAGGCATATATCAGAGGGTCAAATTGTTTGTTTAAATGGTAGTGAAGCACGGGTGTTTTTACCTGTACAAGAGCTTTTAGGGCGTTTCAGTCAAAACGTGCAGGTGAATCGAGCATGCGCGTGAATAGTTCCTAGGCGGGACACGTCCAAGTGGTGTGAGCGCGAGTTCCTCAACATGTTTGGTTTTTGTTTAACCTCCTAGTAAAGAATCTGACTCTTCAGGTAGCGTTGCAACAGAGATGATGTTGTCACCCATAAAGAAAAACTCGGATTAGAAGACGACAAACTGTAGTATTCGAGAAATGTTTGGTAGCAAATGCCTTTTTGAGTTACAGTTCAGGTTTCTGGTGTTTAGCATTTATAATATCCAATATAATTCGCATAATGCATTGTTTGTCTGGCTAATAGAACATTGGTATGTATATGTATCTTGTCAGGCAGGACAGCTAGCGAGAGAAAAACAAACAGTAGTGGTCTAAAGCAAACAACAGGAGTGCACTAATAGGGACTACACAAAGTGTGCTCTTGTTGGCTGACTCTCGGTAATTCAAATCTCATGGGGACAGCGGACCACTTTGAATTAGGCGCACTTCTAAATAACAAAACACACTCAAGCGATGAGTTTTTTGTTTATTTACAGTACTGACTTGGAAGATTAAAGCTAGCACGAATTGCAATTACTCATTACCGAAAGTAACTAAGCTCTGTATATTGCGAGCCTTTTTTAGGCACCTTTGGTATTTTCATTACCAAAGAAAATGTTTTCGATGATGCCCAGTGCGAAACGCGATCTTTACGTTGGCGGCATTCGGCATGGAATGCGACGCTTCCTAAATTTACCTGTCCAAAAACATACCATAGACCTTGTTGACATCAATATTGTAAAGAATTCTTGTCCTTCGAATTGGTAGTTCGAAGGATAAAACACCTCTGGGGCCCGAGTATTTCCTCGTGACTAACCTTGAGGCCAGTTACAGTCACATTCCTAATCGCTTCCATAACGTAGGGATGGCTCCACGATTCACGTTCCCATGGCCCAGCCACTTATTTAAATTGACCACTCGACAGCTTAGCCTTGCTCATTTCTTCTTTTCACAACTGCGCACACAGTCAATAAAAAGTGATAAAATTTGCACGATAAATGTATTAGCACACATTTAAGCTTGGCTAGTATAATCACAAGGCTTTTTTACACTCCCGGATTCACCGGACCTCTCGAGCACACAGACAAATACTTTGAACGAACCGAACTCCACGTTAAATTTAGAATTACCGAATGTTTTTAGAGCGCAGCTCTTAGGCACCCGTTTCCGGCTTGAGCGGCGTCGCCGTCGGCGTAATTGTGCGGTGCATTATGGGTCGTCACTGGTGACTCTCGTGACGTCACGAGGGTCACCATTGACGTTATAGAGGATGTCACACATGACGTCATGTGTGACGTCACCAAGGTCACCAGTGACGTCATAGATGACATCGCGTGACGTCTTGAGGGTCACCAGTGACGTCACTCGTGACGTCACCGTGCATGGCATTATGGGTAAATATTCCCGCTAAATAGAGCGGAAAATTTTGTCCACTAAATTTAGCTGTAAAACTTTCCCGCTAAATTTAACGGAAAATTTCCCGGCTAAATTTAGCAGAAAAAATTCCCTGCTAAATTTAGTGGAAAAAAAAATCTGCTAAATTTAGCGGAAAAATTTCCCAGCTAAATTTAGCAGAAAATTTTGCCTGCTAAATTTAGCAGAAAAAATTTCCCTGCTGAATTTAGCGGGAAACGTTCTCTGCTAAATTTAATGGGAAATTTTCCCTTAAATAGGAGGCGAGCAGGAGAGAAGGAGGGGAGGGTACAGATAAGGAGGAGGGGCATACCCTCCTCTCCACACCTTTTCCTCCTCCTCCTCAAGAGCTGCGCTCTAATTCGGCGTTACAGGGGATTGTAAACGTCTTTCATTTTTTGCCCTACGGACTACTCATGCGTACGATTGCAAGGACCGCACCCCTGCTTCGAACTAAGCGATTTTGAATTATTGAGAGTCAACTGCAATATCAGTTTCGAGGTACTAACACACATGGAGATAGTACTCCGAAGGAAATCAGATCAATTCGGACCACTCGACCCGATTTTTGGGGCCTGTTCGGTTCCTCCAGTTTGTTGAGACAATATGCTCGCTGCACGTTTATCGGCATGGGTGCTCCTTTAAGTTATGGTGTCTGGAACGCGTCTGCAGTGCCCGCCAGAAGCCGAGAGACTGTATCTAGAGGCAGGTGCTGGCCATAGCTTCTTGCACGCTTTTACGCTCCTTGCTTTGCATGTAGAGTTTCACGGTGCCCCGGGCTCTCGTGGGTGACTAGTGGTTTTGTGTCCTCTGCAAACTCTCCCAGGGTGTCTGAGTATCTGATGGGTGATCTGGACTTGGGCACGAGCGCTATGGGCAAGACCAGGGTGCGTTGGCTTTGGGTTCTCCTTCCCCCGGTTTCTCCCGCGGCTTGAAGATCGCTTGTTTTCTGGATGGTTAATTGGGGCCGTCTGGCTTACAGTGTCCTCACTCTTTCAGAGCTGCGAGAACCTTCTGTCTCCGGACAGGACGACGGGGCACACATACTGTGAGTGGCGCAGATTTAGTATAGCTCTTTCACCCTCTCCTACTCCCTTAAGCCTGGGCGACATTTTTTTATGGAGGAAACGACATACTAACACTAGCTTTTTCAAGAAGAAATGCTTAGTTAGCAATTATTAGGTAAAAAAAATAGACTAAGGCAACGCTTCGTCCGTAGCATCACATCTCTGTCCGCGATGTCAAATCTCTCTGCATACCCCCCCTTCACACACACAAACACACACACACACATACATACATACATACAGCCAAATTTTCACCGCTTGCCCCCCCAAGCCTGACCTATAAATCCGCCCCTGATCCGCCTTCGAAACTTTCAGCATCTTCAGCACTCACGGGGCAGGAAGTGGACGCCAAGCTCATGAGGCTCAGTGAAGGGGTGGAGTTCTCCTTGAGGCGAGCCAAGATCTGGTCAAAGTATGCCAAGGACGTCATGACGTACGTGGAGAAGCGCGCAAACCTGGGTGAGCACTGCCCGACGAGTGGACGTATGGCACGTATCTCTTCCGCGACGTTTGTGGTAGCTTGCGCCACCTGGCCTGTCTGGTACAGTCAGTGTTTCTGCTTTAGTTTCTTTCTTCCCTGTAAATCTCAAAAAGGGCCATTACTTGTGTGGGATATTAACATAGGATGTGTTTTATCAGGAAAATTCCATGAGAAAGCGGCCACAAAGAACTGTTACGTTAATTTCCTCATTCAATTTTGGGGGTGACCTTATGTCACGGAACTTCCCGTTTCCCCGCTAAATTTTCCGGGGAAAGTGATGTCATGTGACGTCAATTTCCACGTTAAATTTAGCAAGATAATTGATGTGACGTAACCATCTCACATTACCTGAAGTCACGGCACGTCAATTTCTGAGAGCTGGTTCTGTGAGGTGGTAGCTTGCACTCAAGACATTTCGTGCTCCCCTGTCCTTATTGTTAGCATGATCAAGCTTGTGTCATTTTTTACTTTCTCCTCATTCCCAGGCCCTTTTTGTGTTTTTAGAACATTCACCCTTTTATGGTCACGTCACCTAAAAATTGAAATACTCCTAGCTGCTCTGACTTTTGGCCTTTTGGCCCTTCACACTTCATAACCCCATGCTCAGTCGCTTCAGTATTTTTTGGCTTGTGGGGCAGTGTGTCTTTTCTTATTAAAGCGAAAGCATTAACTGCTTCATGGAGTGAGACGACGTCATCAGCTTTGAAACCACGCCAAACAGCTCTTAAATCCTTCTCCAAGTCAAGCCAGCTCCCATTCGCCGGTTAGCCACGGCACCTTTTACACCGCTTCAATCCCATTGGCTAGCGCGCGTCGACCAGGCTTCCATTCGCCGGACACGCAGCGCCATGGGGTGGCCGGTCGTTGACCCGGCCACCTTATGGCACTGCGTGTCCGTCAGCGCTAGGGAGCCTTCATATACTTTCGCCACATCTGTCTTAGGGTGGCGACATCTCGGCCATTTCTGTCCCCAGAATGCACATGCTTCGATCTTGTTCGGAGCGAGTGCTTAACTCTGCCCGGTGCTTTGGCGCCATTTTAAGGCCCATTTGGCACGCGCAGACAGTTTTCAATACAACAATGGGTGTCTTCACCCTATGAGAGACGCACATCGAGGCACCCTAGTCAGTGCCAGGTCAGCGCCCCAGTCAGTGCGCCAACACGCGTAGAGCAAGTATGACGTACATGCTTTCGCATTCACAACTCATAAGAAGTGCTTAGGTGTACCTCGATCTTTTTAGCCCTACTACAGTCGAATCTCGTTAATTCAAACTCTGTTAATTCAAACTTGCAAATAATTCGAACTAACATGCAGGTCCCATCCTATGCGTCTGTATGGGAGGAAACTCCTTGCAATTCAAACTTTGCTTTATTCAAACAAATTTCCAGTCCCCCTCGTATTTGAATTAACAAGATATGACTGTATTAGTATGTTGCGCTCCTTTGTTTCTGAACAGACCTGTTCTGGCCTCAGACTGCAATCTGCTCCCTTTCAAATTGTCGAATATAAAAATACTTTATTTCTTTATTTATTCATGTTCCCTTAAAGGGATACTTCAACGAAATTTGAAATATATCCGTCGTGTTCAAAAATAGGTTGAATATGATCCACAATATCTGTAAATGACAATCGCACGTTTGTATTTTGGGCCTGGTGGCTGTATTTTTCGTTATAAACGGCCCACTCTAGTAAGCGCTCGGAGAAGGCCCAGTTTAGAGCACGTGACATTCGACACAATCGTGACGTAGGTCGTCTCGGGACGAGCAAAGCTACGGCGAGGCTGATGCTGAGGGGATGGCCTAGTCGTTCCAACCACCGAAGCGGCTGCTTTTGTACGAATTTTGAGTGACGGGTTAATCTTTTATAATCTTGTAGGGGGACAATAGCTACTTCTGGAACACACAAAAGGGATTTTCGGGAAGACAGGAGTTCCTCCTTCCCCTTTTCTCTCGTTGTGGCCGGAGGCAAGACACTCACCGTCACTAGCTGTCAAGGTTCCTAGACGGGCATTACAAGCGAGGCGTTAGCGACATCCACCAGGTGCTCTTTGCTAATTGTTTAATTTGTTTTAAAATTCCTTTTCGTGACTTTTTTAACAAGATATTGGTGTGTTCGATGTGATACTGCTCCTTTTAATGCATATGGACCATAAAATAAGCACCGATATTTCGTTGTAGTATCCCTTTAAAGGCCTTCTGGAGGGTATTACTTAAGGGGGCATGGCGTGGTTATAAAAATATGACACAACACTTCAAGTGAGCAGAAATGCATTAACAGTTGAATCTCGTTAATTCATACTCGAGGGGAACCGAACATTCGTTTAAATGAAGCAATATTGAATTACCGGGAGTTTCCTTCCACAAAGACACATAGATGGGACCTGCATGTTAGTTTGAATTATCCGCAAGTTTGAATTAATGAGATTTGACTGTAATAGTAAATTTCTCAATAAGAACACTAAAAATATATAGAAAACCTTCGTTAGTTTAAATTTTGCAAGCTACCTATACCTGACTTTTTGCATCTCCCTCTCCTCCTCCTTCGCTCCCTTTTTTGTTGTCAAATGGTCTGGTCTCATTGCTTGTGTGTAATTGGGCTCCTAGCATTCAGGCTCAGCTCATTCCTTTTATATACCTTCAAGCATATGAATATAATGGCTGCTTCAAGTTTGCACATCACAAGTGCTGAGGGCCATTTACAGGGACATTAAACTCTCAATAAACATGGTTTCTATGTGCCTGGACACGACAGCTAGTGTCACAAAGTGAACTTTTTCCCCCCCTAAAAAGATCATTTAGTACAATACTACGTCACGAAACTCGTTTGAGCTATCCCAAAACATGCTTCCATACTTCGGGGCCGACGTCCCAAAATGAAAGCATTTTTTAGAATTGCGCTTCCAACTTAAAACATGTCTCGCAATAGTATTGTGCTAAAAAAATGTTTTTTTTTTCAGAACCAGTTTATTATGTGACATACAAATGTGGCTCATCTAGCTTCTTGAGAACTTGTTAATGCAATTAGCATTGGAACGCTCGTTTTGACGAAAACCCGTCGGTGTCTTTTGATCGTCGGCACCGGGGAGAGACCGAGAAGAAGGGGAAGAGGGTGACGCTTGCGACGTTTCCATTGGTCCAAAGCGCCGATTTTCAGCACGCGTCAACATTTCCCTCTCTCCCTGGCACTGACAAGCTGACAGACACCGCAGGATGTTTGTCAAAACGAGCTCTTTTGTTTTCGTCAAAGTCACACTCATGTTCAGCACGTGTCGACATTTCCCTCTCTCCCTGGCACTGACAAACTGACAGACACCGCAGGATTTTTGTCAAAACGAGCTCTTTTGTTTTCGTCAAAGTCACACTCATGTTCAGCACGTGTCGACATTTCCCTCTCTCCCTGGCACTGACAAACTGACAGACACCGCAGGATTTTTGTCAAAACGAGCTCTTTTGTTTTCGTCAAAGTCACACTCATGTTCAGCACGTGTCGACATTTCCCTCTCTCCCTGGCACTGACAAACTGACAGACACCGCAGGATTTTTGTCAAAACAAGCTCTTTTGTTTTCGTCAAAGTCACACTCACAGCTACTGCGGAGCCAGAGAGGAGGATGCGCCACAGTGCGGTGGAATGCAGGCGTGCTCAGTGGGTATTGGCTCAGTTGCCACTCTGTTGTCACTGGTTGTTCTTCGCTCTGGTTTTCCGTAGTAGCGGTGTGTAGCCTGTGAGATGTGTGTGTAGTTGAACCGATGGATGCAATTCCCCCCCCCCCCCCCCCCCCCCCCGAGTGATTTGGATGCGGCTCTTTCCACAAGTGGGCGGATGTGGTTCTTTCCCTGAGTGCTCATTCTAGCTAAAAAGTTCTTGATATTTCCTCTCTCCAGAGGCAGACCATGCCAGGAACCTTCTCAAGCTGGCCCAGACAATGCGACCGATCCTAAAAGAAGAGGTATGGCTTCGCTTACGAAACCTCCCTGGTACCTGTGTTTCTTTGTGTCTGTGCGTAATCTCTTCTTCGTGCGAGACCCCCTTGTCAATCTTCTGGAGTCGGTTCTGCCTCACTTTTCCTTAGAGCTTCCTGCCGTTTCAATCAATCTACTGCACCGCCATCGACCAAGACCTGGACAACTCCAGCAACTGCCTTTCCAACTGCACTCTGCTTCATGATCACAAGTTCATTGAAGTGAGTCACTGAGTAGCTGCTTTACTGTTTTACTTGGTTTCTCCTTTGAATGCAGGATGCATTTTAGTGGAAGCTAAGTTAGGATTTGTGTAGCCAGTGCAAGAGCCATAGCCATAGCCATACCAGGCGATCATTAACTAAATTCGGTGGGCTAACACCCCTCTAAATTTAGCAGGACGCCTCTATGGTTGGTGTCCCGCCACACCACGACTTGACATTACAACGTAACTTGACGTCACGCTTTTACGCTTCCCAGGTTTTCGTATATATCACTAACGCATTCTGCATATGAGACATTTGAGTGGTATGTTAAAGGTGCGCCTCTACTTTTTTGAGTCTGTGACTGACCTCTTTTTTCATCGCCCCTCCCCCCCCACCCCTCCTCAAGCCACTGACGGCCCGGAGAAACGAGCACGAAAAGGCACGCAAACAATTGAAAGAGATCTGGCACAGAGAGCTGAAGAGAATGGTGAGTTCATTTTGCTTTTATGTGTGTCACCCTTTCTTATACTTTTTATAAATTAAAGCATTCCTAACAAGTGGTAGGCCTGAATGCAGTTCCTTGAAGTGTTTTCATTAGAAACATATAACTGGAGTCACTCTAAAGCTGTGTGACCTGAGGCACCCTTTCCCCTGTTGTCTAACTTCACCACAGTGGTCATTCATTTGCATACATACAGAGTGTGGAACATTTAGCAGGAACATCCAATCGCCGGTTTTCTTTGTTTTTTCCTTACGGCTGAAAAATTGCCATAAGGAGTACGTACTGACATAATTTTTGTTGGTACTTGGAGTGTGCTAATCCTGGAGATCACCTTAAGCGATACATTTTAATGTTTGTCAGTACTCTTTTCAAGCAAGACATGAAAAAACTGTCTAGTGAGACGTTTGTTCGTGTGGCAGAAGCTATACTGATGCCGCCATTTTGTTGCTTGGGCACTTTTGGTAACTGACACTGCTCTGGAGTGCAACTGCGGCATTAAGTTGATGAAAACCGTTCTCAAGTGCAAGGATATACTTGTGCGTGTGCAAAAAGTGGAATAAAACTAAACAATGAAAAACAACCTGTGGTTGTTTACGAGCTTAGAGAAGTCGGAGGACGGGAGACAGAATGTGGCGAACTCATTTTCGATTAAAAAACGAATGTGTTCATTAAACGCGGACGGTTAAGAATGAAGACATGTGTTGTAGTTACTCGTTGATATACCAGTTGCACCTATTATGAACAAGGCTAGACGTGTGCAAATAGTGTATTTTGAGTTCGAAGCAACTATCTGGAGTAGCAACGGCAAAAAGAGCATCATCCGGTACTCTATTTTTACACATACCATTCTTTATTCGAATTTAAGACGAGCCGGTGATGAAGGAGTCGACCTGTCGGCGGTCACAAGGACCCCAGTATATGCTCTCCTCCGGGTGACTCTGAGAGGAAATGAATCGAAACAAACTCGGATTTATGCGACCCAAATACTTCCCCAATCATACCTACCGAGTTCTGTCGTCGACGGAGCCACTCTCCATGCTTCAGCGTTTTACCAACACGAGAAACAGTGCCATTTACTAAACGTCTGCACTTAAGAAGCAAAATGCGAAAGTGGCAGACACTGTTCGTCAACGTGGCGGAACACGGCTTACCGAAAGGGAGAAGGCGTTTCATAGAAGCGCCCTCTATGGTTTGTGGAAAACAGTGCTGGGACAATGTTTGAGTGAACAAGACATCCCGGCGGCATTTGTCAGGGCCATTTTGACTCCAACAAGCTGACTTCTCAAGCAAGAGCTCCTCTGAAGTCTAAATAAAGACTGGTATATATGTAAAAATCAAGTATACTAGCCGATGTTCCTTTATGTTCCTGACCACCCTGGCTGGTGCACTCGTTCACGACGTGAAAGAACTCGAGCAATCTGGAAGGAGGACACACTGCTCCTGCCATAAAATGACACACGGTGGACATAGGGCGAAAGCAGACGAACGTCACCGACATGGACTCCGGCAGAGATTTCGTATCAGAAGCATGTCGCATCATGGTCTTGTGCAGGAACCCTATACAGTGTAGACCGCATATAACGTATGTCGCGGGAGTCGCGAAAATCCGCACTATAAGCGGTACCGCGTTATAACCAAAACATCAATTTTTCAGGCCAAAATACATGCCATGAGACAACCTACCTTTGTAAAAGAATTTATTTTATGTTAGATGAAAAATAAAGCTTAGTTTGAGAAAAGTCTTTATTTCACCAGACTAGTACAGTTCTGTCTCAAGTGTGTCACACATTTTGAAAGAAATGAGCGGCTTTTGCCTGGTGCAGCCTTTTAACGGCGTCGCGGCCGGGTTGCGGACGGACGTTGCGAGCGTTCAGGATTGCTAACCCTAATCACTTTTCTCCGGAGATGAAAACGCGTGAAAATTCGCATCCTTCATACGGTACGCGCCAGAAAAATACCTTGAACTTCAGCACAGGCATGAAATGCTCCAAATAAGAAATCCGGGCGATGTTCGAAAACACAAATGCTTAGAAAGCACCACTTTAGCCGAAGTAAACAAACATGACGACACGGGCGTTTCTGCCGTCTTGAGAGCGCCGCCACATCGCCGCACGAGTAGGTGGATCTTCCCTTCTAGTACGTGCTGGGTTATCATAGCGACACACAACGAAAATTCACTGTCAAGGATAGCGTTTTTACGCGGAACGATGAGATGAACGCCACAACCGACGCCATGTTTGCGGACAGAAGCCGCCGGCCCGCGATTGGCATGCAATGCGCGCGAACACTTCTCGACCTGCGATTGGTCTGTCGTTTCGGTTGTTTGTTCCCAACGCAGCGGAGGGACGCACGCACATGAACGACACGTGCGTGCGTCCTTCCGTCGCTATGGCAAATGAAGCCTCTCTCTTCGCTTCTCCGAGCAACCTCCTTGCCCCGCGAGTGCCGTTTGCGGCAAGTTGCGGCTCGCGCCGTTATCTAGTGTCGCACAGGGAAGCGTGCTCGCTGCTCCGGTCGTCGGCGCGGTCGGCGGGCTGTGCCAGAAACCGCACTATAACCGGTATTTCCCTTCGCGCGCCTGCATTTTAAGCGGTATGTAATTACATGGAGTTCTATGGGAGGCGAACCGGTGGTTTAAAAAAACCGCGTTATACCCGGTCCTGCACTATAAGCGGTTACGTTGTAAGTGGTCTATACTGTAGACCAACTCGCTTTTCTGACATCGCACCGCCATGGTGGGACCACTAAGGTAACACCGCTTCATCTCACCGGATTCTAGTTCCTGCGTGCGTGCGGTGCCCACACCTGGTGTGGGCACACGCGGGTTTGTTGGTAAATGGCGCGAATATCGGTGGTTCTCAAATAGGTGTTCACAATTCTTTTGGGGTCCCCGAAGGCCTTCTTAGGGTCCCCAACGCTCTTTATCATTGGTCAAGCAGAAGAATAAAACTTTTTTTTTATCGATGCTGGCTGTGCCACAGAGCTATATGTAGACCAAACCGCATGTACCGAGTGGTTAGGGGTGATTATTCTCTGTTTCAGAACTTCGAAGTTCTTTGAAGTTCTTAACCATACGGTGCATACGGTGTGTGGAAAGCAGTGCCGAGACTTTGTTTGAGGAAACAGGGCATCTTGGTGTGACTGACGTGTGCCGTTCCTGTGTGCAGCAAGAGCTGGAGACAAACGTGCGCAAGGCCCGTGCCCTGTACGTGCAGCGTCAGCAGGACCACGAGAAGGCCAAGGAGTCTGCGCACCGGGCGGCCGAGGCGCAGGAGGGTGGGGACGGTGGGAGCAGCCGCTGCGAACGGAAGCGGCGCCTGGAAGACGACGCGCTCCAGAAGGCCCGTGAGGCTGAGACTACCTACAAGGCCTGTGTCGTGGAGGCCAACGAAAGGCTGCTGTCGCTCGAGAGGACAAAGGTCGGGAGCGCTACTTACGCACGTGCTCATTGTCAACGAGCTATCACTTGGGCAGTACTTTGGCGAGGCAGGGAGAAGCCCTTCATTAAGACTGCTAGCTGAACATGTGCGCATCCAAGTGGAAGGTTCAGATAGAATTTTGCCTTTCTCAAAGGAACTCTTTAAAGAAGTCACCTAAAACTTTCGAAATGCCCCCCCTTGAAAAATTCGCAAGGTTTTCTTTCACCAGAAAAATAAATGATGCATCGCCGGATGCTCCGCCTCCACCCAGACATAGCACTAGTGATCCAAACCAGATACCGAAGTGTCAGAACAAACCATCATATCATTAAAAAGTGGTTGTGTGCGAATTGTGGATTTTTAGTTCGACGTGAATTCGAAGCAAATAGAGGTTTTGGCCGAATAATTTCTAATCGAATATCGAATAGTTTCTTCGAGCCTTTCACTACAGTTGTACCATGCTTAAACGAAAACCCAGCTGAACTCATGAAGGTCGTTCCCAAGCTTCCACTTGTCCATTTCTAAACTAAGTTAACTTTGATCTACCATAATATCCCCAGAGATGCCCCACCCCCAAAAGATGACGCGCCCCCTATTTCTGGCCTGCTTTGCTATTTCTTTTCCAAAAAAAAAAAAAAACACCGAAGGATAGCCCACTTGCGGTAATTGCAGGGCCTTGGCCATTGGTGACCTCGGCAGAAGTGGTGCTACTTAGCCACTACGGGAGATAAGCGAACATTGCTGACTGGAAAGCACAATCGTCTTTGATCCATCGCCCCTCTCTGCGATCACAAGTTTCGTAGGTCGCGAAATCTAAAACTAGCATTTTTTTCAACTCTCTTTCTTGTGTACCAAAAGCTAGCCCACTCTTTATTTTCACCCGATTTGCTTTCGGTTGTAGGTGGGCTATCTTTCAGGACATTACAGTATCTCTATTTATGAACTGTGACTTTAGAAAGTCGAATGCCTACATTTGATGGCAAAAAAACAACAGATTTGACATAAAATTAAGCCTATAGAGGTGCCTGCAGCTATACCTAATGGGGATTTATTAATCGTGCTATATGCAAATAGCCTTCCTTTAAACTCAAATAAAAAAAATCAGATGATGAGCACATGTTGTCAGGGCATCTCCGCCTAACTATACTCTTGCATAGTAGCCGCAGTTTAATTTTTCTAATTTTACTGCACTGCAGGTATCTAAGTTCACAAAGTTTCCTTTTTTTTTTAATATACCATGCGCGCGGGTGCACCATCTCGCTTTAAAAGTGTGTTTTTCTCCTATGCACGGGACTACTATATTTGTGCTTTATGAAATGTTGATTTCGGCGGGCTAGCCCCAGTGAGCGTGCTTCTTACCGAGCACCAGTGCACTGCAGAGAAGCAACAACCGCAAAGCTCGCTTCTGCAGGTGTTGCTTCTCCGTAGTACACCGGTGCTCGGCAAGAAGCGTGCTCAACGGTGCTAGGGGCTAACCCGCCGTGACCAACTTTAGAATAATAAGAATATCACAGGTCATCTCGAATAGAATATAGAATAGCATATTATTCAAAAAACACTGTTCAAAAATTGGAATATTTGCACAACACTATTAAAGAGTTCTAAGTGATTTTTTTAAAATTTAAATGGGGAAATGGGGTTCATTTTAGATAACTGATGCCATTCACCTCCACGTTTTCGGGTGTTCCGTTTGCCACCATTTTCCCAATGAAATTTTCAGAAAATCACTTATAACTTTTGATGTAGATAATGGTTAGTTCTCAAACTTTGGCACTTGGTACAAACCGCTAGCAGTAGATTTGGGTGGAGACTGAGCGTTCGGCAATGCATAGTGTACTTTTGAAGTAAATAAAAAGCCTCATACACTTGTGGGCAAGCATCCTGTATAAGCCCGAGTGTGTCGAAAATAAGACTCGACTGAATTGACACTATGATTACGATACAGCCTACATAATGCCATATAACTCAGTGCGCACACCATTGAGCGCTACACTTTGACGCTGAAAATGATGCTGCACAGGAACACGCTTCACCATTATGGTAGCGTCAATGGTAGCCTCTTAGACGTGTAAAAAAAATTTAGTCAAAATTGGCAATCGTACGGTTTGGTCATAAACAGCTTAAGAAGCGCAGGGAGCGATAATTCTTAGGCTCACGTTTCCTGGTGCGGAATTGGTCCTCCAGCATTCTTATTGGCCAATGCTGCAGTCTCGTTGGCCGTGGAGCGGCCTGATTTTCAGGACTTGCCATGCGCTGCATGCCTTAAAAAAACACTGACACCTCCTCGAAAAAAAATTTTTATATTTTGCCAGGCGATTTAAGATGGTGTCAGTTTAAGATGGTGTTAATTTGAGTTTAAACCGAAACCGAAACTGGACCGGGGAGGAAGGAGAAATGTAGAGGAGGAGGGAGTTGCTGGAGTCATGTGGCTACTCCCGACCGCATATTTTTTTTTTTTTTGTGCTAAGCATACAAACAATTAGTGCGTCGCTTGTCGCTTGAAATATGCAAATGTCAGAAGACATGTCATGCTTGACGTTTGCACGTTTTCCGAGCTCTTGCCAATTCGTGTTTGTAAGACGAGCGATGACTGCAGCCAGGAGAATGGGCGGTGACTCGGCAACGTTTTCGTGCGAATCAACTTGGCGGTCGGCCCTTTCGTACGGAATAAATCTTAATTGATCTAACCTTTAAATGATTTCTATTTCAAAGCTAGATAGATTTGCCGGTACCGCAAACGACAGTTCTAAAGTAGAGGTCCCACGCCCGTTGTCCGCCATCATCGCTTAGTCAGCTTCGTCCAGCCCATGACTCCTGTGATACGACGCCGTCTTGAGAATTACGCTGAGAATGCACAGAGTGCTTTTGGTACTTTGTGTGACTTTTGTTTCTTTCAGTCAACGTATTAGCAGCTTTTTAGAAATCTCAAAAAATGAGTTTCATTTTTTTTTTTTTTAATATTAAGTGTACGCTTTTAATGGCCCACGACTTTGATTATATGTGTGTGTTTGAACCGCACATGACTACGGAGAAGAGAGTGAGCGCTACTCAAACTGGCCACTTCTCGACCGGCGGTTTTTGGGCGAAAAGAAAACCAATTTTGAGCCGCAAATTGTGTTCTCGGTATTTGGGCTCTCATATGCCATGTACAAATAAATAACCTTGGCAAGCATAAATGCCCTATTAGTGTTCCTTTAACCCTTTGTGTTCCGGGCTTTTTTTTTTTCTGCACGTCGAACGTGAGTTTTAGTTTCGAGTAACGCTGTAGCATGCTTTCTTTATGAAGAATATTTACTCATCAAAGACGCATTGTTCTATAAGGGCGAAAGGTTGATTGGTGTTTGCTCACCTTCAACCTAAGACATTTTCCTTGTATCATATTTTTCGAGATGCGGTGCTTAACGGCGGCACCTCGACCTCGCACCCCGAAGTCACTCTTTTGAGCATCCTTACTCGGCCTTTTTTTATTAGGAACCGTAACTTCCTTGTTTTCACTAACGTCGAATACAGAGTTCCTTAGTAATTTCTATATCTTGGTGTTCGCCACAAAGCGCGAGGTTGAGGGACATTGATTCGCAATTCTAACAACGAAGGAGCACACCGAAACCGAAATTGCCTATATGAAAACTTCTACATGGCACGAAAAAGTGACACAACAAGGTAAAAGACTGGTTTCAACGCTTGCTCATACAGCGCGCTACACATAGAGAAAAGATTGACACACCAGTTGGGAGTAGCAGGGAGCAAACGGAAACTGAAACCATATAGGTGCGCACTTGAGTTTGTTCTTACGTGGCGCCCAAGGGGTTAAGCTGTCGTTTTCTATACACGCTCTGTACGTAGGATGGTGAGTTGAAGCGTGTGGTGCCCTCTGTGCCTGCAGATGGAGGTGCTTCAGCAGGTGCGAGAGCTCATGTGCCAGTGTGACCAGACGATGAAGGCGGTGACGGTTGCCTACTTCCAGCTGCAGCATACTGTGTCCGCACCAGCTCCCGTTCAGGTCTGTACGAATCCTCGCCTTTCAGTGGTTGTTAAAGAGTGCTCTCGGGTTTGTTCTAGAGCAGGGGTTCTCAAACTCTTTGATCTCAAGCTTCGTAACTCGAGAACGAGAGCTCCGACAAGCTTAGCTTGCAATTCGCGGCCATTATTGTTTTAAAAAAAACGTGCAAAAACCCCCATTTTTTGGCGAAAATAAAATTTTAGTTATATTTTTCTGCTTGATTTCACATGAAGTCATCTATACCCGTTTTCACCTCAAGAAAGCAGTAAGTTTCGCGCATTGTTCATACGCCGCGCGAAATAGTTCTCGCCAGAGTTGGTTGTCGGAGGCGCAGGCGATGCTTTTGGCGTTGGAGCGTGTACTCCTTGATAAGATAACGTGTATCCACTCTAAAATGCTAATAAATATATCTTATATCTCCACCTAAAGGTGAAAATTAGTAATCATCCGCGAGAAGCCGGACTTTTTTTCCTATGGTTCTTGAGGTGAAAACAGGTATAGTTAATAAAGTCTCCAGTATAGCATGATTAGCTATAGGTAAGATGACTTTGAAGTCATTAAAATGATTAGTAGCATGATTAGCTATGGGTAAGATGACTTTGAAGCCATTCGATTAAATGATCGGTAGCATGATTAGGTTTCATCAAGATCTATTTGTGACTCCCTGCGGGCTGTAGCTTCGATGCTTTGAATTGTATGTTCGCTAGCGGTAAAAGTTTGGTTTGCACGACGCGTAGGATCACGCGTCGTGCAAACCGAAGTTTTGATACATTATTTCTATGCGGAGTTCATCGAGGCCGGTCAAATTCGTTGTAAAATGCGGGATGTCGCATAAACCGGGGATGCATAATCGAGGTTCCACTATATACTTTAGTGTTTTTGAGCGAAACAATTCTAGCTTTTCTTTTTCTAGTGTGCTTAGTTTCCTTAGTAAGAAGGTGATTGATTACTTAAAAAAGGAAAGATATGAATCCTCAGTTGTTCTTTGAAGATGACTGGGAGTTCTTTGAAATAAAGAACCATTGAGAACCCTCTCACTAAAAGAACAGAAAGGGACTCTAAAGTTATTTTTTCAACTATATGCTTTGTTTCATTCGTAATCTGCTGTAATTAAAGGTTTGTGAAACACCCCAGGTGATAGACCAATCTCATCAGCCAGTTTTGTTGCACGGCCACTGCCGTGACACATCGAGGGAACTTCTGTCTTTCTGCACATGTTTCGTGAGACCGGCCAATTGAAAGTAAAAGCCTTCGTTGCATGACCTTTTGAGTTTGGACTCTTGGGTGCCATGTTCCGCTGTGTCTCCCATGGTTTCAGTTCCAAACGCTCTGCGAAAGCAGTCGGATGTACGAGCCAGGGTCGCAGTACATGGAGTTTGTGAGGCGGATTCCGTTGGGGCGGCCCACGGAACCGCAGCTGCTCACCTTTGAGCCGTACACCACTGACACCAGGTGCGTAAGATCCATAGGAACGGCGAGACGTTGTATGCAGACGGTAACACCATTGCATGCCTATTATTCTCGTTTTTGCACCGCCAGCCTTGAAGCTGTTGTTTGAGTGGTGATTTTAGCACACCACCCGCCCGCACGCTCCAAATCTCCCTAAAATTGACAGATTTGGTTGTTTTTGATGACGCTCAGCGAGTTTCTAATTACAACCGTATTTACCATTTTCTTTAACCACCTCAGACTGGGTGGGGAACGAGAGGAATCCAAAGTGGAAGAGAGAGGAACAGGACCGAAGGCAATGTCTCTATTGAGACGTCTCTTGTCTGTTCTTTTTTTGTCCACTTTGGATTCTTCTCATTCTCTACCCAGTCTCAGGTGGTCCAAGAAAATGGTAAATTTACACCACCTGGCCTGTGCCATCAGAGTTTTATTGTGGAATTATGTTTATTTGCATTGTTAAAAAGTTAATCGACAGATTTTAGATAATTATTTGATGATTAGCCCCTACATTACGTCTTCCTGGCCGTATAACTTGCCTGCATAGATCACATTAGTGTAGCTTTCACGGCTTTCTTCAAATAATTTTGGAAAGACTAAAAGAAACAAATGTATATGGTAGTTTTGCAATGCTTGATTTTGCCTTTTCTTGTTCTTGTCAGGACGGAGTCTCGAAGAATCCATGAAGCGGTCGTAGCGAATGACGAGCCTCTGGATGGCGCCGCCTTGGATGCCAGGCTTGGTTTGGAAGGTGGGGACCGCCGTGGAAGCTCGGCTTGCATGCCTGCTTTGGACTCTTTTGGATGCTAACCGTTAGAACAGTACATCAAATTTGCGTAGCAGCTGCCTTGGGTATGAGCCTGGCAACTGTGGTGAAGCACCACATGTGGTTCATCTTCCATCCTCACCAGCAAAAGATGGGCTTTGCTGGCACAATGGGAAAAATGGTGGAGAAAAGGATTGCAATCACAAAGAGAAGGTTAGAAAATTTGGGGAAATTATCCAGGGAATATTGAATGGAGTACAACTAACTAGCATAGCTGAAGGATAGGTGGGATGTAGGAAAATTGTGATTCCCTCCTACATGGCTATGGACCAAGGTCTCAATCCTATCCCACAGTGGGTCCGGTAGAACGCCAACGAGGTTTTACCGGGGGAAAATTGGCGACTCTCTCGCCGGGAGGAGAAGGCAGGGGGGGGTGCGTGTTTCCATTGTTTTCTTCCCCATCCCCCAAAAGTCATCAAGGACAAGTTGGACAGGTTTTGCTGTTTTCCTCCCTGTGCATAGAAAAACAAAAACTGTTTTTTAACTTTTAGGCATACATTTTTTACCTGAAACCTACACTCATAAAAATTTTAGTATGACAAATGCTCCAGCTAATGACACCTTCCTGAAAAGTTTAATTGCACCCTGTTTATTGGTTTATCTGATTTCTTCTACACCCAAATAGCGCTCGTAAACAGCCTGTAGATGCGACCAGCTCCGGGCTGATGCCGGTCCTGTCTCTTGTAGCCGGTGCCGGAGCCAAGGCAGCAGGCAGGACTTGGGGCACGTGCCCGGGTAGCGATTCGGACAGCGTGGGCAGCTGCCACAGCAACAAGTCTCCCGACACGAGCCCCGCCGCAAGCCCCCAGGCCCCCGCCAGGACCCTGCTGACCGTCTCGTCCGGGGACGAACTGGACACAGACCACGACAACGGTCGGTTGGACGTGTGCAGCCGTTTTTAACCCCTTGCATTCTAATTCCACGTGTCCCCAAAAGGGAACCAAACCCAGGACCTTTCGATTGTGAGCTTAACGCTCAACCACCATGCCAAGGGGGGAAAGAGGGACTTGAGAAGTGATGACTAAGAAATGCGATCAGTTCCAACTTGGTAGCTCAGAAGTGGGGGAAAAACGGGACGGACAACACAAAACCTTGCGTTGTCCGCTCTGTTTTTGCCTTGCGCCTGGGTTACCACGTCGGTGTTGAACCAGCTCTCTTGCTTTAGTTGCAATGAATTCCTTTCACCAACTGACACCGCGGAACGTGCGGGTAGCGCGAACAGGTGGCTTTGAGTTTTAGTTCTGCTGCACGAGGGCTCACAGCCAAGGCTCCGTCGCATTTTCGTCACACTTTCAAGGGGTTTATAATATAAGTCATACGCTTGCTGGTATAGTGCTCGCAATAGAAAGGGACAGACTGAAGGGAAGAGAGAACAGAATTTGGCTATGGACAGGAAGTAGGTTTGCTCGTTGTGCTCTGACCCGAGGGCCTAGTGAAGGGGCGAGGCATGTCTTAATTTATCCAGCAGAATGTGGCCTGCTTAAGGAAGAAACTTCATAATGCTACGGCATTTCAACCTAGTCTGTGGCTGACCATCACAGAAGCGCAGCCCCATTCTTTTAATGCGTTGGCATTAGAACGCTCGTTTTGACAAAAACCCGGCGGTGTCTTTTGTTTGTCAGTTGTCGCGTGCGATGCTCCCATTGGTCTGAAGCGCTGATGTGAGCACGCATCAACCTCTTCCTTTCACCCCGGTGGTGACAAACTGACAGACACCGCTGGGTTTTCGTCACGAGCCCTTTCATTTTTGGCAAAGTCACATGCACAGCTGGCGTGAAGTCAGAGAGGAGCAGGTGCTGCGCAACACCTCCTAGATAACAAAGCCATAATGCTGAATGAGATGGCTTAATCAGAGAAGGCCAATGCTGGACGCAGATTTGAAACTAGTCCTGCGTCAGCGCTCGGCTTTGAGTAAATTTTGAGCCAAACGTTGACGCAATGCTAGATAAAAAAGCCATAGTGCTGGACGAGATCGCTTAATCAGAGAAAGCCAACGCTGGACAGAGATTGGAAACTAGCACTGCGTCAGCGCTCAACTTCGAGTCCCGTTTGAGCCGCACGTTGACACAATCGTCGTGTCCAATCTATGCCCAGCATTGACCTTCTTTGAAGGCGCCCTCTTATTCAGCACTACGGCTTTGTTATCTAGAAGGTGTTGCACCGCGGCGCGATGGAATGCAGGCGTGCTCAATTGCTGCTCTGCCGTTGCTGGTTTTTCTTCACTCTGAGTTTCCGTAGTAGCGGTCGCGTGTGCTGTGATCTTTGTGTGTAGTTAAAACAGTGGATGCGGTTCCCTCGACTAGTGATATAGATGCGGTTCCTTCCACGAGTGGTATGGATGTGGTTCTTTCCACAAGTGATATTGATGATTGTATCCAGGGGCGTCGACATACTCTGACAGGCGGAGTACAGAAAAGGAGTGAAGAAAAGTACAGGAAGATCCATTGGTGTATTCTTAGGAAATCCTTTGGCATGACCCTTGAGAAATGCCACACATGTCCCCATTTGGGAAACACCAACACTGACCACGTAACGACGCCAATGAGAGGCAGCAAAAAACAGAGGAAGCAAAAAAGAAAGCCAAAGATGAAAAGTGAAGGAGTCAGCAATAGCGTTTCCCAAAGGAGGACGTGTTTGGCGTTCACAAAGGTCATGCTAACGTATTCCGTAAGAATCCACCACTAGATCTTCCTGTAATTTTTCTTTCTAGGCAATGGCAGTCGCCATTGCCCATTCCGTCGAAGAGGTGGCACAACTCGTTACCAGAAATGGTAGAACACAAACCTTTCAAACAAAAGTTTTGGTGTTGTTTTTCAGTAGCTAATGCGGACCTCTTTGCTGAGGCCACATTGTCAACCCTACTCACTAATTGTTTCCATATAGTACTTTAATGTGTTTTCATACCTTTCTTTAATGTGGGATTGCAGAGAAACATAGTTGATGGATTTGTTTTTGTAAGTATCTATATCTCGTGCAACAAGGTTTTATTTCAATCAAGTGAATTTGGTAGATTCGAGTGCTCTTGGAACGTATGTGTGGTCAACCTTGTTCGGGACGAAACATGATCAGTTTGTGCGAGAATTGACATTTGTGGTGTTGATGTGCAGACAGCGGCTTGGGCCTGTGCCGTCGGATGTGCCTGTCCCGGGCGGCGGAGACACACTCGTTCCGCAAGTTGCGCACTCCCTCCCGCTGCCGGGAATGTGACTCCTACGTCTACTTCCAAGGGGTGGAGTGCTCGGAGGCAAGTAGGCTCTGGGACGTGAAGGAACCATGCCAGTACCACGTCTCTGTCATGTTTTCTGTCGTGCCTTTGTTGTGTACATGTCATGTCGTTTCTCTTTCTGTCATGCCTTCTATCATTTCTGTAGCTTTGTCATGTTTCTGCCTTGCTCTCATTATGTATGTCATATGTGTTCTTGCCCTGTCTGCATCTTATGCCTTGTTGTCTCTGTGTCTTGCATTAATTTTGCCATGTTCTTTATGCCTTCTACGTTTGTGCTATGTTCTTTCCCTGTCTGCATGTCATGCCTGTGTCGTGTCGGATGCAACTGGGATGGCAGAGAAATGATTTGGGCATGACACAGACATTACAAGGTCTTAAAGGTATGAGCAAAACACGACAAAGGCATGACATAGACATGAAACTGGCAGGAGTTGCACACAAGAGTCAGTCAGTCAGAGTCTTGGGAGCAAGGAAATCAAAGGAAGTGTTGCTGAGCCGGAAGCTCAATATGTCACCTTTGTGAAAGCACACAAGAAGATTGATATGAGACATATATATACACAATGAAGCTTCATTATGTCTAAGTCACATTCTTGTGTGCATCTTATGCCTTTGTCATATCTATGTCATGCCTTCGTAATGTTTTGGTCATACCTTCTGTATATGTTATGTCTGTGTCATGTCTAAATCATTTCTCTGCTGTCCTCGTTGTGTCTGTGCATTGTCTTCTTTTCTTCATTTTGTGTCTGCTTGGTATGCCTTCATTGTCTTTCCTGTCAAAATTATGTCCAATGATCTTTGTTATGTTTTTGCATGGCCTATATGTCATGTCCTGTGATTTCCTCTGTTATGTTTTTACAGCAGAGCTGTTAAGGGCTTGTCACACCCAGTTTTGTGTCCTTCACGAAAGAAATTTTGACACAAAACTCTGAACAACTACCGCCATCCATGAGTGACGGCGGCAACCAGACAACTGGTTTTCTGGTTGCCGCCGTCGCTTATAGATGGCGGCAACCTTTCCAGCCTTTCCACTCTGGTGTCTAGGCGTCGTCCTAGGCGTCGTCCTTGAGGTCGTCCTAAAAGTCATCCTTGAGGTCGTCCTCGAAGTCGTCCTTGAGGTCGCCCTAGAGGTTGTCCTCGGGGTTGTCCTAGAGGTCATCCTTGAAGTCGTCCTAGACGTTGTCCTAGACGTCGCCCTTGAGGTCATCCTAGGCATTGTCTTTGAGTTCGTCTCTGAGGTCGTCCTAGGCGTCGTCCTCGAGGTCGTCCTAGAAGTCGTCCTTGAGGTTGTTCCAGAGTCATCCTAGGCGTCGTCCTCTAGGCGTCATCCTTGAGGTCATCCCACCATAGTACAGCTTTGCTGGTCTTCCTTCTTCACCAGAGTGGAAAGGCTGAAAGTTTTGTCTTGCCTATGTGTCATGCCTTTGTCATAGTTGTGTCACGTCATGTTTGGGATTGCCTTGTCGTATTTGTTTTACCTTGTTTGTCATATGTCTATGACGAGTTAGCACGTCATGTCTTCATCATGTCTAGTTCTTGTCTTCGTCATCCTTATGATGTCCTTGTCACCTCTCTGACACATGTTGCTATTACCGTCCGAGATATGCCCCACCCCCGAAAGATAACCCACCCCTATTTCTGACCACGATTTGCTATTTCTTTAAAAAAAACACCGAAAGACAGCCTACTTCTAGTAATTGCAGGGTCCTGGCCAATGGCAACCTCAGCAGGAATGGTGTTACTTAGCCACAGCAGGAGATAATCGAACATGGCTGATTGGAAAGAACAGTCATCTTTAGTTCTTGCTTCTGAAGGTTTCCAGCTGAACATAGAGGGAAAAACGAAGGAAAGGAGAAAAAAGAGGCACACACTGCTGGCTGCCCCCCCTTTGTTATTCCCTCTACTTTCAGCTGGAAGCCTTCAGAAGCATGTCAAACCAACCAGCTCAGCTCTGAACAATCACAACTTGTTCTTAGTTCATCGCACCTCCCTGCGATTACAAATTTTGCAGGTCACAATATCTAAAGCTAGCTTTTTTTCAATTATTTTTTATCGCACACCGAAAGTTAGCCTGCTCCTTATTTTCAACCGATTTGCTTTAAGTTTTAGGTGGGCTATGTCTCAGGATATTACGGTATAATATTGCAGTCTATCATCTCTTTCTGCCTCATGTTTGTGAAAAGCCAACTCTTTTTATATTGACACACTTTCAAGTGTCATGTTGTGCATACTACAGCGAATTAACTGTTAATGTAGGTATTGATAGACAAAGGACTCTCAGCATTAATTTGGGCATTTAAATTAATCTTGATAATTCTAGCACCCATTAAAAAGTTCAAAGTAAATCATAAAAAAAATGGAGGTGGGCTTTATGAGTGGAAAAATAGGGGGCACATATGGTAAAGTAGACGCTTGATTCATTCGAAGAGACAGTACTGGAACAATGCAGGGGTCTAGAGAGCACCTAACTTTTAAAGCAGCTGCATTACTCACGTCAAGCTTACTCTGCACCGCCACTCCTGCTCCTATAGTTTCACCACTTCGCACTGGCACATATGCCCAAAGCCTCACAGCTTTGTGTTGGTGTGCTCGGAGAAGCGGCCAATGCAGGGGAGCACCTCGATTAGCTCCGTGGGCTCAGAAGTTGACTGGGCTGGGTGTTTGATATGTTCTTTATACTTTAATTTTAGATTTTGTTTACTGTGACTTGCCTGCATGCTTGATTAATTACGGTAACCTTTAAGGCCCGTTCACACTCTTGCGACCAAGTACGACTGAGAGAGACGAGATCTCTTAAAACTTCTTAAATGTTTTTAGAATGAGGGAACACACTGGCATTGTGGCGCCATCTATGTGGTGACCCTGGAACTGCATTTCACAAGAGCGAAGATTTTGCGTAATTTCCGAGGTAAAATGTGCGTAATACCCATAGAAAGGCTCGTTTATAACATTGACAAAAGTTTTTCGAGCCAAAAAAGAAAGGATAATGCACGAGAAATAAAAAAAATATGCTGGACCGCCGAGTTTACACTGCTCCCCAATAGATGGCGCCAGTGTGTTCTCTGGTCTAAGAAGTTTTAAGAAACCCAGGTTTAAGAGGTCGCAAGAGTGTGAACGGGCCTTTACACTGGTGGGACGGGGGAAAAAAAGTAATGACAAAGTGAGTGAACAGCAATAAAAGTTTTCTATATATACTGTCTGAAGTCTCTCGGGGACTTTGATGCTCATACTCTTTTTGTTGTTACTCCTTTATTTAAGTTTCAGAGGGAATGTTGCCATATGTCTAACTTGCCTGCATCTTATTGTTACGTTCTATAATCTGGCTGTTTTGGCTGTTGATTTTGTTGCTGTGGATGTCTTTATAGATGCATGGCACTTTAATTTATGAACAAACCGACGCATCAGCACTGGTGTTAACTGATGGATACTTGATTTAAGGAATGAATGGATGGATGAAGCACTAGGTGTTGGTGCAACAGCTGGTAACAGAGGGCATGCTTGTTCCTTCAGTGTGGCCTGTCCTCACACAAGAAGTGTCTGGAGACGCTGGCCATTCGATGCGGTCACAAGCGGCTGCCGCGAAAGATGACCACCTTTGGGGTGGATCTGACCGACCACACGGACGAGGCTGACGCCGACATCCCTTACATCGTTCGCAAATGCGTGGAGGAAATCGATCGGCGGGGGTACGACGTCAAGGCAAGCTGAGACTCTGCTTCTGCTCTCTGGACCCTTTCCGATATTCTGTGCCATTTAGTGGCTCAAACAGCTGTATGTCCTTTGTTATGCTAACGGTGGTAATAAATATGTAATGTTTCATTCAGTACCTTCATATATCAACAGCACACGAGAGTGGGTCCTTTCTCGTATTGCATATTCTTTATGCACATGCGAATAGAGGATTTTGAGTTTAAAGCGAATTCAAAACAAATACAACGAAACCTCAATTATGCGTCCCCGGTTTATGCGGCATCCCACATTTTACGAGGAATTTGCCCGGTCCTGACAAACTCCCCATAGAAATATTATATTAAAAGTTTGGTTTACGCGCAAGGCTTGATTCTACACGTCTCATGTCATACGACGTTCTGGCGGGAAATGCGCGACGAATTTGATGGCTGCACGCAGAGGGGGGCGGAAGTGCGGCAACGCGGAAGAGTTCTGCGTGCCTGCGTGCCATTTCAGAGGGTCCATAACATGCCACCGGCAACCCAAGACAGCCACAGCATGGGGAGAAAGCAGGAGATGCTTTCCCTTCTCTTCCCTGGGTTCTAAAATGGCTTATCGTTTTCGCGGGTTCAATCACATGAGCGGTGCCAGTGTCACCGTCAATGTCGGGTCACTCTTCCTGCAGCATTTGTGCTGGACCTTTTCCTTTCTAAATTTTTATAAATTTGTAGTGCTGAAGCATGTGTCACATTTTTTTTTTTCATTTTTTTTATACAACCAAGCATTTGGATATTTCTACTCAAGGGTACATTATTTTTGCTCAGATTTAATTACAGTTTGCGAGTATTTCGCTATAACAATATTTCAGAATAACGAATGATTTTTGTGAGTCTGATGAAATTAGTTAGATCGAGATTTGACTGTATTCTAGTATTTTTATTACTATAGTTTCAGTTGCATAGAGACAAAGAAACAGAAAATGTGCAGCACACAATTCGCTACATCAGGCAACTTGCGAGTCAAGTGTGCCCCAACAGATTGAATGGCATCCTTGTGCTAATCGTTAACGTATTAATGCATGCAAACTCAGGCTCGACCAGGTTAGGTTAAGCTAGTTTCGTTTAGGTCAGGCTTAGTTAGTTTAGGTCAGGCTAGACTAGCTTAGGTTACATGCGGCTAGTTTAGGCTACGTTAGGTTAGGTAGGGTAAGTTAGGTCGGCCACGTCGCACTGACGAAGCCATGCGCGGGGACGCCCTCTGCAGGGGCTGTACCGGGTGTCCGGGGTCAAGTCGAAGGTGGAGAAGCTGTGCCAGTGCTTTGAGAACGGCGCCCAGCTGGTGGACCTGAGCGACGCCCACCCCAACGTGGTGGCCAACGTGCTCAAGCTCTACCTCCGCCAGCTGCCCGAGCCCCTGCTCACCTTCAGGCTGTACCCACACTTCGTCGGCGTGGCCAGGGTACGGGTGTTTCCCCGCTTTCTCAGCCGCTTCGCCGACGGACGGATGTTTAATGGCCGGTTTGCGCGCTTGCAACTGCTCATGGCTGAGCGCGTCGTGACCTCTCGTGACGTCTTGCCACGACATGCTGGCACGCCGGTGCCATCTGTGAGGTGGCCCCGGTACTGCATGTCACTAGAGCGAAGGTTTTGCGGTATTTCTGAGATCAAATGCATGTCATCCTCTCTATGAGGAATGGTTGTTTATACTATTGTTGGAAGTTTTTAGAGCCAATAGGGAAAGAATGATGCATGAAAGAAATGGGAAATACCGTGCGGAAATCGTGAGTGTTCCCTGATGGCCCGATAGATGGCCCTAGTATGTTCTCTCTTCGTGAGAGATCACTAGGGATCGCGACGCACTTGGTCGTAAGCATTCGCGAGTGTATGAACGGGCCTTTATAGGGCGGTTTCACGCGATGCACGCTGCGCGACACTCTTGGTGCGAATGTGACGTCAGTGCTTTTTTGTGTTTTACTCCCGCACAGTGCCGACAGGCACTAGACTTTCGCGCTCGGTTTACTGCGCTAAACGAGTCTTTTCAGCCACACTGGTAGTTTTTGTGGCTTTTCGTTGATTTTAGGACATTTGAGAGGGAGTAACTAACACACCCGGCTTACGAATTCTTCCACGATTGGTCTAAAAACAAACGTACACAGTTTTTTTTCGAAGCCTCAGTGACCCGTTGAGCTTGTTGCTTAGATATACGGAAGTCGACCCAGTGGAGCTGCAGGAATGCCCCACGGGGAATCACTGCCATACCCAGTTCGCAAAACATACTAGCGTAAAATACCGAGCATGCGCCTCCCCTCGCGTAAGCGCTCCCTCCCATTTTATGAAAATTTAATATTTTTTTGTCGTCATCTTGATTGTTATTTCCACACCGAGTAATGGCCCTTTCCCTATTTTGATTGAATAATCTCTAAACTTGGAAGGGGCTCTCGCTTGGCATTTCACGTTATGATTTGGTCACGAAACAAACGTGTGCAGTCCTTTTTTTCCTTTGTAACTCTCAGCGACTAATAGAGCTTGTTTCTTAGATTTACGAAGGCCGGCACAGCACTGTTACAGGAACACCGTGCCGGAAGTTGCTAGCATACCTAAAATGTAGTCACTAAGACACCTGGACTGCAAATCATGGCATGATTGGTCTAGAAACATGCATGTGCAGTCCTTGCAAACTCGGTGACGGACCGAGCTTGTTTCTCAGATTTACGGAAATTGATGCAACGGTGCTACAGTATTGGCCTGGAGTTGCTAGCATAGCTAAAAGGAAGTCAGTGGCCCACCCTGCTTGCAAATCATGGCAGGATTGGTGTAGTGTATCGACCCCGAGGCAGTGTTATATACTGAGTGAGATGAACATGTCAAAGGCTTAAAGGGGCCCTGCAATCATATTTCAGCATCTACCTTTTTTATGGTTTCCACGTCTCTTGGGGTTCGGGCAAGCCAGCGGGCACGGGGAGAGTACTAAATATCTGTGCGTCATATTTTAACCAGACGACGCGGAAACCTCCTCCACCGACAAGGGCGACCCGCGGTACCGAAAGCGCGCAAAATGTGACGTCTTTGGTCCTTGGCTTGCTACTGGTCAAAGCCGCTAAAAGCTTTTTTTTTTAGTTGAGATACAAAATAAAAGTATCGCGAACTGTTTCATTTATGTATAAAAGTAGTTTTTGTTCACTATTTTAGATCAGAAAAGAAACAAATGCAGTTTAGAAAGTACGGAAACAAGAAATGACTCGTCGACATACCCGCCACCAAGCGGCGGAAAAAACGGCGGTTCCGAGCGTTCCGAAGGCCTTCGGCGCGGGCCCTGCTGGCGATTTGGCCATTTGTCGGTGCGTCAGCGCAAAGTGGCTCCCGTTCCGAACTGATCTTTACCCCGTGTTTGCTGTCGTTTGTGGCCATGAAGTGTTACGCCGAGTTAGTGTTTAGTCGCGCAGCAAATGCAATGCGAGCTGCCCTGGCCGCCCTCTTCATACAGCCTATCCAACACGTGCTTTAGTGGCGCCCTCTCGAGCTGTCGACACGGAGTGCGGCAGCCGTGAGCGCTCGATGAGCTCACTACTCCTCCTTTAGTTCACGGCGACTCAAGCCAGGACCTACGACGTCATGAAGGAGGTTTTTTGCTTGTTTTTGTAATTCTAATTTGCCTATAACTTTTAAAATAAAGCGAAATTTGAGAAAATAAAATTTTGATTAAGTTACTACGTTCAGTGCAAATTAAAAACCAGTCAAAAAGTCATTGCAGGGCCCCTTTAAGTGCCATTGCGCCATAGGCTTTTACTAATAAAAGCAGGCATGAAAAAGGCCGCCCTGGCTCGAGGAAGCTTGATGTCCAAATGCCGCTTGCATTTGGCACGCTGAACCCTGGCCCCATCTCGTGCCTCATGTGCTTGTGCGCTCGCGTCAGCATAGCCTCGGGCTCGATAGACTACAATTGGTTTTAAAACATGCATGCGCGGTCCACTCTAAGTGACTGATCTAGCTTTCGTTTCTTCAACTTACGAACGCTGACGCAACGGTGTTACAGGAACACCCGGCGGGGAGTCACGCGGAGGGAGCTGTTCCCGAGGAAGATCAGGCCAACGACGCTCCCCCGGAGGAAGTGGTCGGTGGCCAAGAAGCAGTGCCAGACTTGCGCCGTCTGGTCGAGCAGCTTCCCTCTGTGCACCGGCGCACTTTGGCGCTCCTCCTGCGCCACCTGGCGCGGGTGGCGCAGCATGCGCGCAAGAACTGCATGCCGGCCAGCAACCTCGCCATCATGTTTGGACCCACACTGCTTCGCACCAGGTCAGGGATGCACCGTAGTGTGCAGAGATTTCAAAGTGTTTCCAACCGCTTGATTGGTGTCACCCATTTTATGGGCCGCGTTTTCAATACGAGCGTCGAGGAGGAAACAAAAGCGGCTGTTGTCTGCAAGCGTCTCCACCTCTCCACCCGCTTTCCCCCTCGCCTTGCGATAATGTAACGGATGCGCATTTGCGACCAATCTGCCCAGGAGTTGTCCACCATTAAATTGCGAATGCTCTCCATGGTTTGAGTTGCTCCCTCTCTTAAATTTAGGCCTTCTAATGCACCACACTTCGTGTTGCATGCCGTCTGCCCTACTTTGGGACGGCTCATAAATATGGTTTCATGTTTTCGGAGTTTATTTTTCTTTGTATGGACCTTTTTCAAAAATCTCAAAACGCTGTGCACAAACTCCCATACACTCCTCTTTTCCACCTCAAGTTCTACCACGTGACGCTGAAGAAAGCGAAAGCGTAGCGCACTCGCTCGCCTGCCCTCGCCCACTTGCCATTGCCTCCAAGGTTGCTTCTGTTGTTTGCCAGAACCGGCTCTACCAGCATTCTTTGCGCTCCTTTCGGCGCCACAGACAGCGCAGCATGTTTTGCAAAAGATCTATTCGGGGGTCAAGGGCTTACTGAGGAAGTCCCTACTCTGAGACCAGTGCATTCAGCAGCTCCACATTCAACATAGTTCCTAGGAATCAAGGGGTTCCCCAGGGCACCCTCAGGTGTTCCACAGGGCACCTTCAGCAGGGTACCCTTAAGGGTTCCTCAAAGATTTCTCAGGGTTTCCCCACAGTAACCTCAGGTTCCCACGCGGTATTCTCATGGATTCTCCAGTGAACCCTCAGGGATTCTTCAGGGTACCCTTAAGGAATCCCCAGGGTACCCTTAAGGGTTTCCTGAGCTCCCAAATTTTCTCGGTTGTCCCTACCTCTAAGTAAACGCAATCCTCCAGTTTAAGTGCTACCTTAGAAAATCCAAGCCGTCCATTGATATGACTACGTGCAAAACACTTTTTAGTATGATCCTCCTTAATTATGTGGTCTGTTGGCTCATACTGCTTTACTGCATCAATGCTGAGACCAGGGACTATAATATGGACCCTTGGCCTAAAAGCCGTCGAGGAATTCTGCGGCCGTGATTGACCGGTGCCTCATTTGACCTTGGTGCCGGCCAATCACGGCGGTCGAATTCCTCACCCACCTTTTTGAGAAGTGTCCAGATTAGAGCCCTAGGAGGGGTTCCTCAGCTAATCATTGAGGGAGAAAGAGATTTCCTCGAAGCCATAAGCTTTCAGAACCTTGAAGGATTCTGCTTTGACTATAGACAGTTGCATGTGGGAGAGAAGGATCATCCGGTTCTCCGTGCCAGCTTCCGTCTCAGGGTCTCTTCAAGTGATCCTACTTCCTGTTCTCTAAAAACTGCATTGTTTTTCTCACCACAAAAATAAACAATGTATCGCCGCATGCTCAGTGTCCAGCTAAATGTAGCGCTTAGCGGTCCTGACCAGATGACAAAGAAAGTTTCATGGCCAACCGTCATATTTATGAAGACATCTGTTTTTGTGAAATATTCAATGGGAAAATGGCAGCCAACGAAGCCCAAGAATGCATAGGGTTGAATGGCGTAAACTACCGAGAACGGGCCCCATTTTCCCGTTGAAAGTTAAAAAAAATTACTTATAAGTTTCGAATAAAATGACGGTTGGTCCTGAAACTTTGACCTCTGGTCCGGACCGCTGTAGCGTTACATGTTGGCAGTGATTCAGTGTTCGGCGATGCATAGTTCCTTTTTGTGGTTAAAAAAACACCTCACATTTTCTTTTCGGGGGCAAGCTGGACTTGGGGAGTCGGAGAAATCCAGGGAAGCTGACTTTCCTGTGTTGGCCATTGCAGAGAAGGCAGTGCCTCGCTGAGCTCACTGGTGGACACGGTGCACCAGACCAGGGCCATCGAGCTGCTCATCACGTACGTCGACCGGATATTCGAGGACCCCGACGCCAACGAGCAGTACACCGTTCTGGAGGCCATCACGAGGCCTCCGCCACAAGAGGGTGAGGCTACCGATCCATCTACCCTTTTCCGGATTCCCAGTGTGAGGGTTTCTTGGTACAAAGCTGCGTGGGTGAATGCACAAGTAACCGAGAACATTCCTTCGAGCAAGGACGCTATGCTCCTTTTTGCCTCACGTCGCAGCGGATGCTACGAGCCATCGGAGCCAATCCAAGGCCGTGACAGTTCCCGTGACCTTCGAGAGAAAGTGCCATGACATGCAGAAAGCAGTCACGTGCTATGTTCACAGAGCTGGATTGTCTGGAATGGCTGATAGCGTCCGCTATAGCCAGACGTAAGGTGAAATGGAGTATAGACCTGTTAGCTTCACTGAGCTATGGTTATCTAGATTCAGCTCCCGAGACATTGCTTACATGCCCATTGTGGCTTATTTTTGGAACCCCAAGTCGGTACAAAGAAACTTCTCCCCTCTCCTTCTTACCTCTTGTTCCCTACCAAGATAATCCTCCAACAGGGGGCACCACTTCTGTTGAAAGAGGCAGGTCAAACCGATCTGTGACGATCGGTGTGAAACTAACGAAGCAGACAGTGTGCATCTCTTATATTCCTACAGTATCTTCTGGGCCACAGTCTGTATCCCATGTATAGTCCACAAGTGCAAATTTTGATTGAAAGAAAAGTGCTTTTCATTAGATGATATTGTCAAAGGGTGGTTATCACGTGGTGTTTGTCACAAGGGAGGTTTCCAAGGGGTGTTCATCACAAGTATGTTTGTCACAGGGGTGTTTGTCATGGAGGTATTTGTCACTGGAGTGTTCATCTATAGGAGGGTTTGTCACAAGAGTGCTTGTCATGGGGTGTACAATACAAGCCTATTTGTCATGAGGGTTTTGTTGAAAGTGTGTTCATCACCAGAGTGTTCGTCACGGGCTTTCGTCTCGGGGGCATTGTCACTTGGTGACTGGGGTGTTCATAAGAGGAGGATTTGTCATGGGGGTGTTCATCACAAGTGTATTAGTCATAAGGGTGCTTCACCAGCGTGTTCGTCACATGGGTGTTTGTTAGTCATGGGGGTGTCTGTCACAAGCGTGTTTGTCACAGGTTTTCGTCACGATGGCATTGTCACTTGGTGACTGGGGTGTTCATAAGAGCAGGATTTGTCATGGGAGTGCTTGTCACAAGGGTATTTGTCACAGCAGTGTTTGTCACGGGGGTTCATCACAAAGTGCAACAAGCACTACCTTGTTGCTCATCGCTGCCATCCTAGTCAACTTGACTTGTGAGTTTTTACCGCATGTGATGGTTTTGGTGCACTGCCAGATGTAGTAATTCCCTCGAAAATACTACGCCAGACTCCCCGGAAGTTGCTGAGGAGGATCCCAATCCACCGCTGAGTCGAGCGGCTTCGGCGACAAGTCAGGCAAGCGACGAAGGGCAGCATGGGGCCGACCTTGAGAGCCATACCTGTGGAACACTTGGTGAGACGGGAGACCAGATTCACTGTGGTACACATCGCGACACTGTTAGCGCGAACACGACATCGGTGCATTTTCGCATTTTACTTCTAAATAGTATTAGCGAGCACGAAATTTTATCGCTTACATTATAGAACTAATTGAGCTCTTTCCGTAGCAATAATAACTTGGATGAAATCCCTTGGTTTGAGTGAGAAGGACTGAAAAAACTGGAGATCGCTTGTTCGCGCTAACAGTGTCGCGCTCTGTACCTGAGTACTTTGTATTATACATATGCAAATTAATTTTCGTATATTTCTGCAGAAACAGAGAATAGCAGATGTGTCTACCCCCCTTTTTTTCATGTCTAGCAATGTTGACATCATACCCCCTTATGTAATGCCCTTGAAGAAGGGCCCTTAAGGGTACAATAAATGAATGAATGAATGAATACCTCAACTTCAATATCCTGTGGGCATAATTGAAGGCCGTGTATAAGGGCAATATATTATCTTAATACTGTCGTTTCTACTTTTGTCATCGTAGACACTACTAATTTTTTTGCATGTGTGCATAGAAAGAGACAGGTGTGCATACAATTATTAGGTTGTTTTTAGCCTTCATTTGGAGCGTTGGTGTGCCTGTTAAGACACACATTTGCATTGTCCGATCATTAAACTGTTTTTAGAAGCAAACAGTTAAAAGGACACAAATATGTGGAAGGTAGGCACAGGACGACAGCTGACTTTCAACTGATCCTTTATTTCTCTTGATGTAAAGAAGACAACAAATTTCTGACAGCATGTGCATGCATACATGACCATTTATGACAATATCAAGTACTTCTTTCTTTGGCAAGGCCACTATTTTAACAAGCTCTTAAGCATGCACCCCTGCCCTCCCTCCTCTCCTCTTTCAGAATGCTAAGTTGATTACTTCATACGTCCAACAAACTAACCCAGCCATCCGTTGCAGTTAAAAAAACATGCATTGTGCACCCTGCACAAGTATACAGTCATTTCGCATTAATCTGGACCCCATTAATACGGATACCTTGCTGTATGGACAAAATTTACATAGACAACCTGGTTAAATATATTCATTTCTTTCTCGTTACTATGAACGACCCATTTTATGGACAATTGTTTTAAGGAAAGGTGGTGTCCATATCAGAGGGGAGCTCCGACCAAAGCTTTTTATAGTCACTGATTTGCCTCAAAATTTATTCAATGTATCAACGGACAAATTTGAGGTACCAACCCAAGTTGCCAGTCAGAATAATTTTTTTTTTTTTCAATGTTATTGAAGTTTTAACTTTGGTCAGGGGTTCTGAAGGGGCTCCACTGGCAACACTCGGAATGTGACACCAGGTGTTGAATATGGTGCAGTATGGGGCATCACAGTTTGTTTCCGATGGTTTACAAAGAAGTTTGGTGGTTCGATACAAATTATGGTCCAGCTCACGCCAGCAAAGCGAAGAAAAAACGCGAGCAATATATTGTGTTTTGTAGCCCGCCCGCTCGACTTGCAAGTTATGCAATATCACGCACCACCTTCGTTTGCCGTTTTCTCATTAGCCATTTCGAATTTGGAGATAATGAACATAGTGGCCGGAAAGAGCAAAGCCCAGGTATTTCGCAAATGTGCTCAGTTTGGGTAGCCCAAAGAGCCGCCAGAGACATACGTGTATCTTCTTTCTACGTCTCGTCGTCAATGTTGTACAACCACTCCAGTGGCTCACCCAACATCCCCCTTCTCAGGTGATTGGCCCACAGCCGAAGGCGGTTCCGAGGATGGCGAATCGGATGCAAGCGACGACGGTCGTGCCAGCGTCTCTCCCCTGGCGCCGACGCAAGATCGCCGCAGCCCCGACGACGCTCACGAGGAAGACCCTTCGGGCGAGGACCCCGCCGGAGACTGCCCTCCCGTTCCGCCCCCTCGCCGGGCAGCCGGCACGAGCTCGCTCCGGAGCAAGCGCCTCGAGAACCAGGCTCGCGGTGGGCAAGGCGGCGGGCAAGGCGGCGGGCAAGATGGCGGCGTCACGTGGTCGGCCATCTCCAAACTTGCAAGTCATAAGGTGCATTCCGACTCTCCTACTTCATGGTGCAATCTTTTTGTTTCTTTGGGAACTGTTCAAATATGACACCAGGAATGCGTTTGTTACTGGTCTGTGCAAATCGTAAGGTGCGTTCAGACTCTCCTTTGCGTTCACTAAGGCTGACCAGCAGTCTGGCCCTACCGATGTTCGCTTCTATGCCCCACCGTTCCAAAGTGGTCAAAATGTGTGGGAAGACAGTGGTCCTTTTCCCCCAGATTTATCATACAAACTTTATGCTTTCAACCCTCTGTTTTGAGGTGTTCCTTTTCTTTTTCTGGGAACCGTTTCATAGCGATGCCTGGAAAGCACTTTCAAATTGTTTATGTGACTATGATTCCTCAAGGAATCATATTATGGTCTATGGTGCCTTGAGGGCATCTCCGACTGGTGTGTTTAGCGCTCCGTTCCGCCCATCCATCGAAAGTGGTCCCAGAATGGCAACAAATTATGTAACAAAAGCCTGTGTGTTTTTGGCGTAGGATGTCACAATCCTGACGGTCGGGCCTAGAAATTCAGGCAAAAAGTACAAGCGAACAGGAGTGTCGCCGTTGTTGCGTCATCCAAACTCCTGGCTGCCGAAGCTTGCGTGGGTTGTTAAAATCATGTGGTGGGCTAGTTGGCTATACATCTTGGTAAAATTAGCACAAAGACAAGGGAGGAAGAACGTAGGTACAGGATAGATGCACTACTTACAACTGGCATTTAATAAGTGAGAGAAAGACAAAGAAGTACTGACAGTGAAAAAGAAAGACACTCAAATAAAAACCTGAGAAATCGTCAGTGAAAGAAGGGGCAGGAGTGAAAGAGAAATAGCGATAAAAAGGAGGAATAAAAAAAAGAGACTAAAAAAAAAACGGGAAGGAAAAGGGGTTTAGGTTTAAGCTTGATGGCTGGGCTGTCCAAAACGACCAGTCATCAAGCTTAAACCTTACCCCCTTTTTCTTCCCAGTTTTTTTCTCTTTCTTTTTTATCGCTATTTTTCTTTCTCAGGTTTTTATTTGTGTCTTTCTCTTTCAACTGTCAGGACTTCTTCGTCTTCCTTTCACTTACTATTAAATGCCAGTTGTAAGTAGCACTCTATCCTGTCTCTCAGTTTTTACCCCCTTGTCTTTGCGCTAATTTTACCAAGACAGGGATTGTTAACGTGGAGAGTGACCGGCAGCAGAACAGGCGCCTGCCACATCCATCGCCACTGCTGTGACGCTGCTAGGATCACAGCCAGCAGCGACGTGAAACTCCTGCGAAGTCACCGGGCGGAAACGGAGGGACCGCTTTTTAGAATGTGGTAAACACGTCCAGGCGAAAACCAGTCCACTTCCAGCTGGATTATGGAACTGGAAATGAGGCAGTCCAGCTGGATTCCAGCTGGGTCCAGCCAAATCCAGCCGGAAATCCAGCTGGACTGCCTCATTTCCAGTTCCATAATCCAGCTGGAAGTGGACTGGTTTTCGCCTGGACCAGTCGCAGACGTGTTCCCGGCAGATTGCAACCTTTGTTATTGCGTTCAAACTGAAGATTTGTCCATGTTTCAGAGACCTGAGTTGGCACTAACCTGATATTGTTGCGCCGCAATTGGCAGAGGCAGCACCAGCAGAACCAGCATCAGCGGCTGTCGAGGCCCACCAACGTGGCGGAGCTGCGGCGGCAGTTCTTTGAGGCCCCCTGGGGCAGTGCCAGCCTGGAGGAGTTCTCGGCCGGCAGCCTGCCCCACTCGCCGGCCATGCAGCGCCTCCTCTCTTCCACGCGTACCTCGAGCGAGCCTCACCTGGCGGCGCACCAGGACGCACCTTCCTCGGGGCCCTCGTCGCTCCAGGACAGAGGTGCCAAAGCTCGGGCTACGTGCAGTCCTCTAGCCGGCTTGTTTTTGGCTCGTAGCCGAAATCGAGTTGGCGCAAGGCTGGTGCCTACCCGGCTCACGACCTAGGCCCGAGCCCAGCTGACTCGTGACAGGGCTAACCGGAGCTCAGCCAGTTCTTGGTTGGAGCCCTGCCGGTTTTGTACATTCTCAGAAAAAAAAATGGGTATACTCTTACACCCTTTTTTTCATATACAACATCCCAAACTTATTAAACCTATAACCTATTAAGCAGCGAAAATATTTATTAAAGACTAGAGAAAAAATGAAAGCTGTTTACTACTCCCTGTCACACCACATTGGAGCGCAGCTCTTCCCTCCTCCTCCCTCGTGATCCTGCCTGCTACTCCTGAACGATAGGGCTCCGGTTCGAAGCCGGCCGAGGGACAAGAGATAAAAGTCTTTTAAAATCATTTTTCGGAGTAATGAAAATTCGAATTTGTCCCCCCTGCTCATCCTCCCTGCTCCCCCCCTTTCTCCTCCTCCCCTCACGGCGGTCACGTGATCTCGGGGGGGGGGGTCACGTGATTGCGGCGTCGCCGTTGCCGTCGCCGTAACCCGCCGCTCATGTTGGAAACGGACTAAGAGCTGCGCTCTAAAAAACACTGAGGTTTTGCAATAGGGCCAAGAAGACTCTGATTATTTTTATATGCAGTTAGTAACACATGCGTTAGCTATTTTAATAAGTTGTACCACTTGGCTATCAAGCCGCTCGCGAAAGTTGGTACCATCAGTTTGACGTCAGTGCGCTGTACGTCAAACTGAAGTTTTGGGGTGTAGCGTATGGGACAAAGGGTGTAAGGCCCTTTTTTTCTGAGAGTGTAGCCATAGCCATCTTGCAGCCGGCTCATAGCCAGAGCACAGCCAACACATAAGCGGAGCCCAGCTGGCTCATAGCCGGGGGCCAGCTGGCTCTTGACCAAAACCCGCTCAGTTTGTAGCTTATAGCCATCTTGTAGCCGGCTTGTAGCCAGAGCCCAGCAACCTTTGAAACAGAGCCAGGTGGCACCGAGCTGGCTTTTGGCAAGGGCTAACTGGAGCTCAGCCAGTTTTTGATCGAAGCCCTGCTGGTTTTATAGCCACAGCCATCTTGTAGTTGGCTCATAGCCGGAGCCCAGCCAACTCATAAATGGGGCCCAGGTGGCTCACAGCCGGGGACCAACGGGGGTTGAGCCAGCTGTTGGACAAAACCCAGTCAGTTTGTAGCTATAACCATTTTGTAGCCAGCTTATAACCAGAGCCCAGCCAACTCATAAATGAAGTCCAGCTGGCTAATGGCCAGGAACCAACCGGCTCTTGGCCAGGGCCCAGTCAGTTTGTAGCTTAGCCATCTTGTAGCAAGTGTCGAGCCGGTGCCCAGCTGGCTCATGGCAGTGGGGCTAACTGAAGCCCAGCCGGTTCTTGGCTGGAGCCATCTTCTAGCCAACTTATAGCCAGAGCCCCCAGAACTATGTTTTGGGGCTTTGGTTATAAGAACTATGTTAACGTGCACCCAGAACTATGTTAAAAACAATCTTGAAGATGTGTAATGTACTACCAAGTGAAACTACTATGGTGGATTGTGCGGCTAGGCGATGAGGTCAACGCACTGCCCGCATGCACACTCGCACACACATACACAAACAAACCATGGATGGGCAGTATTTGAAATATGTATTTAAAATATTTTGAGTTGTGTTTTATTTATAATTTCATTTGTCTACTCTATTTGTCAATTGAATTCATATACTGAAAATTTAGTATTTTAAATGTTTGTCTTACAAATACTGTCCAGATACAATTTTGGGTACTGTTTTTTGGAATCAAATGCAATGATATCCACTTTTTGCAATATAGCCATATGCAAAGAACATGAAACTTGTTGCACTTTGCTCATAATAAACATGGAAGTAGAGCAAGGAATTAACAGGATAGGCACAAATATTAACTTTTTGGTTAATTTATAATTTTTTAGTTGTCAGATTAACATGTTGTTTTTAAAGGCTTTATTGCTTCAAATGAGCCTTTCAGATTAAACTTGTACTGAATACATTGTGTTTCTTGACATTGTACCCACCTTATGACATCTTATGACAAATTTTAGTTTTAGAGCTGCATCCTTTTTTTTAAAGGGGCACTCAAGTAGGATTTTGAGATTGTCCATTTATTGTCATAACATGGTCTATGGGCTCTAAGCATCCTAAAATACCCGGTATTGCATTCAAGGGTGGCTAATTTCCCTATTAAAAGTTCAATCAAAGATCATGCCACTCCCCCCTTTCTGCGCCATGGCGCAGAACACCAGGGGTGCCACCGGACGGGAAGGCAGCAGAGGAGGGCACATTACAGTCAATCATAAATGACGGCTTCCCGACAGACTGAAGTTTCGAATATGTGGGCATTCCAAAAATCAGTTCGCCGGGAAGCCAACACTTGTGATTGGCTGACGCTTGCCCTCCCCTACTGCCTCTCCGTCCGGTGGCGCCCCTGGTGTTCTGTGCCACGGCGTAGAATGAGAGGCACGGCATGATCTTTGATTAGATGTCTCTTCCTGCAATACACCCGGTATATGAGACACTAGCTCTCTGCATGTCATGAGGGGGGTTTTATGCTCTTGAAACCTGGATGTGCAGCTATTGTTAGGCTACTAATGGACATCCATGGAAACAAAACATCTTCAAAGCTGACATATATAAAATGCTATGCACAAAGCTTTCTGGGGTTCAAATTTTTCCGTCCATGTTTTCAAGAACCTGTCAGATGTGTGGCAGGCATGTGAATGAGCATGTTTTGGCACCTTTCTTTCTCATAGACTCCAAGGAGTCCTCGGGGACTTTTGGAAGGCCAAACTTTCGGGAGAGTGGCCCTCATCGAGTCTGGCCTCACGGGCCAGGAGACGCCGCTCCAAGAAGGTAAACTTTTTGCACTTCTTTTTAACACAGAATGTGTTTATGGGCTGGACTTCATGCAGAAAGTGTCATGCTCGAGGGTAAAGAAAAGCCATTACATGCATACCAAGGCAACATAAAGCCTTCAAAGTCCATATCAGGGAATGCATGAGCATGCTCAGTCATTTTATCATAATTAGTGAGATTTGCTATGCTGAGTAGCGGAAATCGAACCCTGGACATTGCAATCCGCAACCCGACACCTCTGCTTGAGGCTACTATGAATAGGCAACCAGGACCGCGAGCAGTTAGACTAAGGCCGTGTTCCAAAATTTACTCGATCTTACTCCAGGGTAAGGGTTTTGTGCCCTTGGCGTTCTAAAACCTGCCGGCGTCCAGCGTTTTTTAATCTGTGCTGTCACGTGACACGATCCGCCGGAGTAACTCGGATCCATTTGGGTAAGATTTGGAACACAGCCTAAGTGTGACTCTGGGAGCCTGTAGTAGTAGGTGACTGTCGGTGAATGCAATTGTCTTGTGAACTTGATGAAGTGCAGCTTCCCAATGGGATCTCACAATGTCATGGGTCTTGAACTAACTTAAACTTGCCTTGATCATTCTGACAAACCTGGGGAGTTCCTACATGAACGTGTCATGCGTGCAACCCATTTGAAATCTGAACGACTGTTCTGGGGACATTTTTTCCACGTGATATTGCTGATGTTTACAAGATATTTGTTGAGCGCTCTGAGGCTGCCAGGCAGTTTCTTTCAAGGCTATCGATGGGACTCCAGGGCATCCTATAGACCTTTGCAGAAATCGCCTCCTGCGCGCTGCCATCTTTCTCTGCTGGGCTGTGGAACGCCCTCCAAGCATGCGCTGTTGATCTGATGTGCAGTATATCGGACGCTGCGCATGCGTCCACAGCTCAGTGACTCAGCATTTTTTGCCCGGTCGTTTCGTTCGAGACTGCCGCTGGAAAGGTCTATACTTGTCTGTAGGATGACATACTGTTAGGGTTGTTCTGTCCTACACACCAAAGAACCAACCATTTGCTCTCACTGCCCCCTCTTTGTTTTACTCTCACTTTTTGGTTTCATTGAAGCTTTATTTACGCAGGACAGATGCCAATCAATGCTAATTTTATTGTAATCAACTACTAAATTTGTATTTGCGATCCCAAGTCCTGTCAGAAATGGCCAGTTTATGATACAGACTTTTCCAATAATCGCCTTCGCCCATCTTCTGCTGAACTGTGTAATGCGTTCTGCGCATGCAAACTAGCTTTTTTCTGCAGAATATCAGGCTTTGTGCGTGAGTCCACAGCTAACTGGCTCAGCATTTTTCACTTGACCTATGAGCAGTGCAAAGGTAGACAGCGTGCAGCTGCTCTTAAATTCTTTGTTGCACTTAGGGAGCACCTAGCCCCTTTGAAGGACAGCTAGGAATGGGAACCGTCGAGAGAGTTTTATTGCTGAAGAAAACCAGTCTGAGATGCTGCGCTGTCCACGCTGTCCTCTTTTAGAGTTTGTTATTATAAATCGCCACGTTTTCTCCTCCTCACAGGACGCACACCCCTCTGCGCGAAAGTGTCTCTCTCAAGCACCACTGGTACAGTACAGACGAAGCGAGCAGCGAACAGGAAACCACGACATGCTCATCTTCCTGGGGCTTGACAAGGACACAGCTGCCCTCGGCCTCCGACCGGAGTGGAGCTCAATGCCCGTCACCATCAATGGGACGAGCACCGCGTTTCGTATAGACGTCCACAGCTCCAAGCAGACGGACATCATCTGTGCTCACAGCCTCAAGCAGATGGATGTTATCTGTGCTCACAGCCCTGAGCAGATGGACGTCGTCTGCTACCAAACATATTTAGTCTGCTAACAGTCAGATGTCGTCTGCTAACAGAGGGATGTTGTCTGCTAACAGAGGGATGTTGTCTGCTAACAGACGAACGAACGTCGTCTGCTAGCAGTCTGACGTCGTCTGCCAAAAGTCGGACCTTGTCTTCTAGCAAACGGACGTCGCCTGCTAACAAACAAACATTGTCTGCTAACAGACGTGCACACAGCTCTCTCTGTTTCCCGTTTCTGGGACTTTGTGGGCAGCTTTAAAAAGCCCCTTTTTTCAGGAGACATAGCCTCCCGCCACTTTGAGACGCTGCCATTGGCGATTTGCGTCGCTTTTGTCGTTGAGGTGGGAGGCGGGTTTGGGGGGGTTATGGAGCCTAGTGCTCCAGAAGGGCATTTGATTTTGAAGAAAAGGTTTGCTACATTTGAGGCAGCACCCAAATGTTTGTTTTTATGTTTGTGGTTTTTATTTGTTACGGTGTTCCTCAGTCGCTAACTTTGACGTCAAGTCTGCACTTTCGATGGTTCCCCCGATCACTCGTGGGCCTTTATTTAACATGTTTGATGAGCGCTCCTTCCTTCCTCAGTCACCTTTGGTGTTCCCTTTTGCAAAGGGTTACTATTTTATCGCAGCGTTCCGCAAGGAACTCGGCGTGAAGCTCGTTGGGCAAATACATTTACGGCGTCATTTTTGTTTGTTAATCTCTACGGCAACATATCCGGCCGTCGCACGCACAGGGTCTCTTTGCTATATCCTCACCGCTTTGACGTTAGTTCAGGTCGAGTGGCACACAGTCAGTTCAAACGTCCTTTCCGGGAAGGAGCATGCCCTTTTCTCGCACGTGCCTCAAGGCTGTAACCTCGCAGGTTAAGAATAGCAGGACAAAGCTCTCTGCTCACCCTGATTGGTGGTTTCCTTCTCTCTAGCATTCACTATGCTAATATGGAAAGAGCGGAGGGCTTTGTGGGGGGGGGGGGGGGGGAGAAGTCTGTCCTGCCTTTCTTAACCTGCAACAGGCTGTAGGGACCTCAATCCCAGAGGCTCACAAATGCACCTGAAATGTTTCCTGCCCTCACCTGGCCACAGTGCCTTCGTCGAGCCGACCCGACCGGACGGGTGGCTTGAAGCCAAGATAGTCAGACCGTTACATGTGGCCAAAGGCCTTTGAACTATTGGTTGGTCAAATTCGGCTGGCCACACCTTTGCCTGGCGAGACCATTGCCTGTTCGGTTATCGGAGCCTCTACTGGTGGAATGCTCGATTGGCCGATCATGCCGTCGGCTGCCCAACACCTCGGAACTTTGTCTACTTCCTGCCAATCAGCACCCCGGTGGTTTTTAATCCGCGACGTCGTCGACAGCGTGTGCGCGAGCAGACGTGCTTTGCGGCGACACGCATGCCAAAAAGAATTTCACCTTGTTACTTTCACGGTCGAAGTTTGTCGACATGCACGCTAGTCAGGTGAAACTCGCACGAAAGCTGCCCTTTTTGAAAGGAGAAAAAAAAATTATATATATATGCGCGGTTTTATTTTGACGAGCCGACGTGAAGATTGTTGCACCGTTTTTTCCTTTTTTTTCCCAAAATGCTTGTTTGTAGGAACTAATGTGTGTAAATAAACACTGACGTTAGCGAGAGTTTGTGGAATTTGTCTATATCTCAATGTGGCACATGGCATTGTACAAGGTCTCGTCCCTACTGCAAGATCTTATTTGTATAAGACATTTCTTGGTCCAATGAATGCATATGATCAAATAAGATCATATAAGAGCGATATAAGATTTTATAAGAAGTTATAAGAAACGTTATGTTTCTTCTATCTTTTTTATGAAATCTTAAATGCTCTTATACGGTTCTTATATGATCTTATTTATCATATGCGTTTATTGGACCAGGAAATTTCTTATACAAAATATTTTTCACTAAGGGTATCTGTGTCCGAGGTGGAATTCTCTCTACTCGCACTGCTTTTTTTCTCTTTTATTTTTCGTGGGTTAAAAATAATTAAAAAAAATACTTGAAATAAATAAAATATTTTTGACGGGTTAAAGGGACACTGAGCTCGCCAAGTTTTTAATTTAAACATGACCTATAAGAGTCGAGGTACTCTGAACCAGGGTGTCGAACCGGAACCGAACCGGACCGAAAACCGGAACAGAACCGTTATTTTTAGCCGAACCGGAACTGAACCGAACCGAAATTTTCGCCGCCATCTTGGAACTGAACCGGAACCGAACCGAAAAAAAAATATAACGGTAACCGGTTCAAGGCAATTTTTTTCTTATTTTTTGTTAGTACCACAAAATGAACATATAGGAATAAAAAATTGGCGGCTGTATTTCTATTGATCAAATTGCCATATACAGAATTGCAACGTATGGTAAATTGTGGGTTTTCGTGGCGCTTTTGTATTGGCACTATGATTAACCATGTGTCACGTTGTCACGTGACGTCATGGTGTCAATACATGTTGTCAAGTAATGTCACGTGACCTCGTGACGTCACGTGACTCACTGCGTCACCTCGATTTAATTTGAGGAAGTCACTAGATGTATTAGCCTTGTTGACAGCGTGACATAACATGACATCACGATTTTGCAGCGAGTCACGTGACACCGTGACGTAAGCGATGTTCATAACAGCTAGTCGAGTGCACGGGTTCTTGACTGTCAGCATCGTCAAACATTCGGGTAATGGCTCATGTCAATTAAATAGGATAATAGCCCAACTCTAACAGTATCTGAACCTCAGCCCAAGCTTTTGCTTTCCAAACCCTAGCCACCTAGGGCATGACTAGGATGAACACTGCCGGTATATAAGAAGCGTCAGATCACGCTGCCGCTTGTTCAAATTGCGAGTTGAGGAGGGGATGGACAGCTGTCTCTTTCCTTTATTTTTTCGGAATGTGCTATTGCGCGGAAAGGAAAAGTAATGGATGTTTTCGCAAGCTATAAACGTCAGGGGTTACTTCTTAACAGTATTTATTGAAAGTACAAAAAAAAATGTTGCAACTAGACCAATTTTACATTATTGAGGCACCCAAACATTTTTTGGTTGTTGCTGAACTGCATCGGAAAGATGTCCGTGAGAATAGAAGTATTGAAATCACTAAATACGACTTATTAATGTGAAGTTCCATAGAACTACATGTGTGTACGAAAGGAATACTTAAAAAAAGATTTCAGCCACCTCAGAGGGACAGCCGAACAATGGCAGTCGCTGTAAGTCTCATACGAGCGTCGTTCTCAAGTTATTGCGCAAGTTTCGACCCCCTCTGTACTTTACTTAAACAAGCTATAAAGAGGATTTCTATACATCACTAAATTCTACTCAGGATCACTCCCTAACGTTGATAACTGATTGAACATGGCTTTGTTTTGTTTTTTTTTCTAGGCAATGGCAGTCGCCAAAAATTTAGATAAATATGAGCATCGTTCAGTCGCTCAACTCGGAGCCAGGAGCGGCCACGTGGCCCGGTGCGTGTTTTATGCCGCCAAGGTTAATCATACCCCCGCGCTGGGGCTTTAAAGGAAGAAAACGCGTGCTGGAGCTCCAGGCATTGTTAGAGTTCGACTATTCTTATTACCGCACTGGTTGGACACGAGCCACTACCCAAGCGTCGGCCAAGGCATTGACTGTTACGAGCCGATGTTCAGTGCTCACGCAGTTCTTGTGTCCAATCCATGAGCCGCGCTCGACTGTCGTCAGGCGGGTGGGTTTGATCCCACAATTATGTCATCAATCTTTGCGAAGGCAAGAAAGAAAGAAATAGTGTCGTTTAATCCTCGCAATTTCACCGCGACAAAGAAGCTTCTGAATCAGTGGCGGCCTGTGCGAGTATACTTGGGCCAGACTAGGACCAGTTCGCCTGGGAAAAGTCGTGAACATTCCAACCCGATATCGTTCTATGACCCCTTTAAACTTCACGGGGTGCAAAATAAAATCAGTGAAGGGTTGCTGTTAACAAGTGACTACTAAAATTGTCGAATTAGCACATACGAACGGAGGAGGCATTTTCTCAGGAATACCAAATACTTTACTAGGTGGAATACATTCCACTCCTCTCAAATACAATAGCTTCGGCGCGGACAGGTTTTCTGGGCTTGGCGAGAGCCATCTATCGTCGTGGAGGTCTCGGCTACCGGGCGGTAAATATACTTCGTTTCACCTTATGCGAGCGAAGGCAAAGCTGGGAGCGCGAGCGCGAAAGCTCCGCGCGTTCAGGCTTTGCTCGAGCGCGCGAGCTGGGCAGAAACGCAAAAAGCGCTGCTCTCGCGCTTTTAGCTTTGCCTTCGCTCGCAGATGAGGTGAACCGAAGTATAGACGCTTTCAGCGCGCGCCAGATCGAGCCGCCATGGCTGACCTTCTCTTGTCTTACCGAGATGCCTAGCCACTGAAGCGGGCGTTGTCGAGCCTCCAAAAAGGCCTTGGCTGGGGAGGAGGACGCAGTAGAATCTAAAATGGCAATAACCTGTCCCGCTGTGGTAATGATGAAGTGAAGCGAACGAAATAATCGGGAACAAAAACTGAAGGTCGGTTATGGCGGCGCCCATGCCCAGCTGCCTGAAAGAGTCTATAGCTCAGTGCTGCGCCAAATACTTTGCTGCGCTGTGCCGCCGTAATCTTCCCAAGGGTTGCACGTTGCACGTGCCTCGTGCATCGACGCGCCTCGCGGAGACGACACCGCCGCGGCCGCCGCGAACATCCACGTGCACATGCGCGTGGACTGACGCGGACCTCCACACCGTCAGCGGCAATGTAGGCGTTCTGTCTAATGCAAATGAGCAGAGTGGAATGTATTCCCCCTAGTAAAGTATTTGGGAATACTCAGAGAGAGTTCGGCGGTTCTTTGATCCAGCCGCCAGTCTGGCAGCACTGATCAAACAGTCTGGCAACTGTGCGCATCCGCCATGATGTGCCTTGCCGTCTAGCTTGATTGCACCTTTGCATTTAATTGCATTATAATTGTAACCTTAAATTGCAAGCTTCACCCTTGTTTGGTGTGAGGCTGGTGGCGGCTGATAAAACCCGTTTGCCCTATGACTCGAGCCGGCAGTCGGCTCGCTAGAGTCCATGGAGCGAGAGACGACGATGAAAATGATCGTTCTGCGCTGCGCTCTGCCAGACATGAAAAAGAAATGGGGGGCTGCAGTGCCGTTGGGTGCTCGAACAACGCGAAAAAGGGGTTCAGGATGTACCGGTTCCCTCGAGGAAAAGAAAACCGCGCAAGGCACAAGATCTGGGAAACCAAGAAGGGCTGACTGGAAGCCGAGTTCTCGATTGTGCGAGGTAAGTTTATGATTAACGTATGATTAACGTAACAAAATGCTTGATTTTTCGACTTTCTCCTTACGCCAACAAAAGCGCAAACGGCAAAACCCACACGCGTATACATCGCATGTCAATGGGGACCCACTCGCCGGGAGGCACATCATGGCGGAAGCGGCGCCCGCTGAGTCCGCTAGACCTAGCGGGCCGTAAGCCCCTCCCACCCGCCGAACTCTCCCAGTATAAAAGGCTCTGGGAATACAATCAGGCTTTCCACTCTGCTGAAGAAGGAAGACCAGCGAATCTGTACTCTGGTGGGAATGAAGTAATGGCCGGTCGCGAGTCGGCAAGCCAGAGTGGAAAGGCTGTAGAGGTTGCCGCCACCTATGCGTAACGGTGGCAACCAGACAACCGGCAAGCCGGTTGTCTGGTTGCCGTCGTCACTTATAAATGTCGGTAGCTGTCCAGAGTTTAGTGTCGTCATTTGTTTGCTGACGGACACGATACTGGGGCAAGTAGCCCTTAACAGCTCCGCTGTAAAAAGAAGTGTGTGTGTGCGTGTGCGCGCGTGCGTGTGTGTGTGTGTGGGGGGGGGGGGGGGGAGGCGGTTAATTTTAAAAATTCAGTGTGTTGTAAAGGTTCCTCTTCCCCGCACCTTTGGCGCAGACCAAAAAGCGTGACCCCGGAAACTACTTTGTGTGCAAAAGGGTCTTGCCAAATAGCACGTTTTTGTCGGTTCAGACGCTCGCGCCGTTCGTCACGACGATGCACTATGAATAGTAATACGTGCTTTTAAAATACTTGGCTTTCACTGAGCTTGAACCTCCTGCAGCATGCACTTTGCACCATCGAATTCGATTTTCTCAGCAAGAAGAAATCACAATGACCACGAGCCTATAGTGTGATGACGTCACGTGCATACCATGTTAAACAGTTCATATTGCTGGTGAAATGTGATGTTTGCAACACTAGCAATAGATGTCCTAATTGTAAAGCTGTGCAGTATTTATAGCAGTCTCGCGATGAGATATGAGAGAAATGTTAGCGCGCATGACTATTCAAGCACAGGGTTCTAAAGTGAGGGCCCAAAACAAGTGCAGGTAAAACCGAATATAACATTAGCCTCCGGAGGCAGTATTTCGCGAAGTTTCGAGCTCATGGAAGTTGATAAAATGTGATTTACACTAAGTTTTTAAGAATATTGTCTGTCCTTTGCCCTATTTATGTAAAATTATAAATCTCATTGTGTGCATTTTTACGCATCTCTTTTTGCAGTAAGGCGTTCTGTAAGGGATTGTTTACAAAAATAACATTAATTATCTCTATTTTTGAACATTTCATGTATTTGACTTCCAATCTATTATGTGAG